TCTCCGACTCAGTTTCTCGCAAAATGTAAAATGTGTAATTATTTTTTGCAAATTAAGCGTTGTTTAATAGTTGCCTTTTTCAATGAATATTTATACATTTATCTATCTTCATTTTATTCCATTCTATATTTACGTAGATTTTTGTTTTACATCGACAAGGACAAAAGACTTATTAAAGATTTTAATTGAAATCAAATCAACAATGGAAAGCAAACAATAGCCAAAAAGTGTTTTTTGACTTTTATAAGCCTTTTGTCATTTATTTGATTTTTATATCAAAAGATTTATTTTTCCCATTAATAAAACAATAATTGCAGCGAATCACTATCTCTGAACTGCGCATGTAATAAGATTATATGAAGCGTATAGACTCGTTTCGACCCCCAAAGTGCGTGAAAGGGTTAAATTCATTCAGCCGGCATTCAGGCTGAGCATTCGAATGAACATTGAAAGGGTTGATCTGGCAAATTGCGTATACTATCCGGCTCCTAACACAACCCTGTGTAACGTTGGTGGTCTGTTCACGTTGGTCGCAGTCGTGATCACAGCGGCCAGCCGTTCTCTAAGTCGCGGTCGCTCAGAAAAGCACGGTCGGGCAAACGCGAAAACGGTTCTCGTCCTTTCACTTCCACAAACGAGACACATCGACCTAATCGCAGCCGATAGCGCAAGTAGAGGTGGCGTAAGAGAGCGAACCTCCGTCTCCGTGTGAACCACGCGCAATTATTGCTCTTATAATACTCCGAAAAAATAACGGTGGGAACTTGTTGAGCGTTTTTCGACTACGTAACGAATCTTCGAAAGACGTATCCTATTACGATCAATCTTTTAAAGACTCATTCCACTCGTTGATTGAATAGAAATCAAATGTATCTCAATGTATCTCGATAAGAGCTCGTTTTCTTATTACTGCCATTGTAACGCTTTCTGTGAATTTCCACCGTGAAGATTTCAATCGCGTAACAAAGAACGAAAGAAATTTGTTCATTTAACGAGTATACGTTATAGGAATAAGAGATATCTCATTGCCGCGCAATCATGTTCCTAGGATTAGTTACGATGAAAGGTGACGGTGCCGCGGTACCCTACGCCATTGAACGGCACAAAAGCACACGGGAGAAGTGAGCAACACCGGGAGAGGATTTCTGGTGCAATGCACCTGTAAACTCGCGAGAGAGAGAGCATTGTGCAACAATTAGCGGTCGAGACGGCCATGCTGACTACTGCCGGCCGATGGCCAGGCGAGCAGCCGCGCTTCACGCTCGCCTTCAGAAAGGGACGCGCTGTTCGTCACGCACCAGGACATCATCGCCTTATACAGAAGAACTAGAGTATTCTAGATATCTCGTAGAAATATTTGTTCTATGAGAAAACACAAGAATGTTGATACCTGACTAAAGATCGCCCTCGAGCTCGTCTCGAATTACACGTGCCTTTCATTCAAGCGTGTAGTGTACTTTAGAAAAATCATATAGGTATGTTAGATTGGTGCAAAAAGTTTGTCACTTTTCCTATTTTAAATAAAATTATTGATCTTCATTTTAAGAGAGTTCGGAGTTTTTTAAATCAGGCGTACAAAAACTTATTTCCAGATAAAAAGTTTATTATATCAAATATAGAATTAAAAAGTACACAAACTTTTTCAGTTATTTAATATTCTTTTTTTCCTCTAAAAATTAGTTCTGCGCGCCTGATTTAAAAAACTCCGAACTCCGAATTCTTAACAATGGAAATCAATAACTTTATTTAAACAAGAAAAAAACCTTCATGAAAAAGGAAATATCTAAAGTAATATCTAAAATTAATATCAAAGTATTGATAATTGTAAGAAAAAAATAATGTGTAAATATCAAGATTATTTTTACTTTTTAGATGTTCTCTTTTCGTGAAAATATGTAAAACGATGATTATTAGAAAGAATATACGAATTTTTTCAGCATTTACATGTTTTTTCCAATCAATCACAATATATTCGTGAAATTTAAAACACCAAACATCATCAATCTAGATTCGTAGTTTAAAAGCTATGTGAAATTCAGGAACTTATCAAATCCAGATAACTATTCTTCCTATCGCGCGTTTTGTACGCCACGAAACCAGCAAGAACGCACTGCAAACGACTTTCTTACAAACGCATGATGCGTTTGTAATAACTGTCTCTTAATATGGTCTCTTAATTTAAGCACGCGTAATTAAGCTACACAAGCAATTAGGCGGTTAAGGCTGTCATCTTGAATATATTACTTGCACTAAATTAATAGTAAAAACATGTAAATAAAATTTCGGATTCAACTGCAATTTTAATTAGCGCGATTAAACGAGTGATCAAAATTTATAATATTAATAAAAAAATAAAAATTAATCTTTTCGATACTTTCTGCTGAAAATGCTGTTAGCGAAAGATTTTCTTGTAGAAAGCAATTTACATATAAATCTTCCTATACTTTGCGCAGGATAATATTGTATTATATATTCTACGTTTCAATATACGATAGACTAATCAATTTTTAATAAGACTAATAAGACTGTAAGCCGCAAATTGCGGTGCTGAAGTTTGCTGATGAAGTATAGTACTTTAATCCCCGTGCATGCAGCTTTAATTAACCCTTTAGATATTTCACCCGAGATACCTTGCTGGGGAATAGCGTATCTTGCATCACATAACGAATATTGCGCAATCTTTTCAAGAAATATATCGACCATGCAAAATTTTAAAAATACAGCCTAATTAAAAGTATTTTAAAAAATCATTAAAAAGAGCGTATCAACTTTACACTCGACATTAAATATAATCATCTCTCAGATTAACATTAATTATTCACAAGAAGCGAAACAAATATTTGCCGCGTTCAGCGCTGAACATACGATAAAAGTACTGAGCATTTTGTTCAGTAAAACAAAAAAATTGGACAGTAGAATAGTTCAAACTGTATTTTTAAATAGCGCGATTTAAAAATCAGCGATTTTGTTACAAGACGATGTGCATACACGACTATATTACATTGTATTATTATATTCATATTGTTTCCATTTCCAAATAACAAAATTGCAAATTATGCAAAATTGCATATGTGTATGTGCAATAATTTCATATTTAAAAAAAAAACATAATTTTCCAATTCTTTAATTTAATTTTTTCCCGCGAAAAAACATCGTAAATTTGTTCCGCGAAGATACAAAAATTTGTCTCGCACTTTCAAGTTACTTCTTTTAGGATCTTCACAAAATCACTGCCTTAATTGTATCACTGATCGACATAATTTTATATAACTGGACGACAACTGGTCTGATTGTATATGCAGATGGTTTCCACGTGTGTTCGCGGCGCATTGTCACGCGATATGTCAAAACGCTAAGTTCTCTTTCTTTTACCTGACGCCTCGTCCTGGGCCTGGCTGTAATCCGCGAGAACGGTGAGGAGGAACGCGACACTGAACTTCACCAGTAGCGTCGTCAAATTACCCATCTCTCCGAGTCGACATAATTTTCCCGTCGCGGCGGCAAGAGAGTTCACGACGCGTGATCGCGCGAGCTCATAATCGCACCAGTTACGCTTTCGCGACAACGGCCGGCAACAAGAACACACACCACACGACGTCCGGTGGCGCACTGCACATTGACTGCACATACTACATGCACGGCCACAACGTACAACGATGCCGCGAAATCCTCGTGCGTGGAGGGGGAGTCCGCGTACGTAGCGACCTCTGACGATCGATATCTGAATGAGCGTGAATTACATGTATATGTGTATATACGTGTGTATAATACATATGTTTATAGAATAAATAGGATATAAATGAATTTATTGCACGAGATTGATAACAATATTTAAATACCTGCATTTTTACCTGGCAATGATTTTACATAAATCGTATTTTGGCTGCACTCGCAGCGGGAAATGACGCAAAAGATTCGAGATGACTTCGATCGGCTCCAGATGAATCGTCAATGTCGAAATCAAATAATCGTTGTACACGATGTTCAACACGTTACGGCAAATCTTTAATCAAGAGACACGGTAGTGTCTCGCGCCAAGTTCACGCGTAGCGCAAGACCGACCGTGTATCTTTACGCGAGACGGAAGGTTCAGATGAGCCGAGATTATCGGATCTCAATAACGGCTGAGCCGATTGAGTTGGTAATAGGCTCAATTGAAAGCGCATACCTAAGATATATAATACTCTTTACGAGAGACACTCGCCATAAACTGTCGCGCAAGATTCAAACACGAAACAATTCGAACGCGATCCATCGCGACCCATTTCGTGACCGATGACCAACTCGATTTGAAGTTACAATACCGATGTGGAAGTCGTGATATCGATATCGATATCGATATTGTGCAGTTCGACTCGAAATGCTTAAACTGAAAAACGGCGCTGAAAGCACTCCTCATGCATGGCGGCATTTTTCAAACTGCGTAAACTCCCTAAATTAATTTCTTATAAAATTAAAAAAAAAAATTTTTTTAATTATATAACGGTTTCTCCAATAATTGGTTAAACTTATGTTCTGTTAATTCGCAATAAAACGTCGTGCATTAATAAATAACATTATGCAGCATTTTCATAAAACTATGAAAAATCTTATTATTACCGTATTGTAGTAAATTATGTTAAATTATTCTTATAAGATAAAAAAAATCCTATTATCATTACAATATATGCATCGGGATTGTAATCAGGAAAACCTTGCCTATAACACTTTACAGCATATATCGTGTTTTATTATTTTATTATATTTATATTACACAAAGATGTATACTTAATCGTATTATTGTATTGATCTCAAATACAATTTGCCGATTTCTCTACCATTCCGTATTATTAAATAGAGTTTAACTAATATCTTCCTTAATCATAATTATTAACATTAAACCAGGTCACAAAAAAAAAGACGGGTGTATATATACATATACATATATGTACATATATATATATACCCGATTCGAAAGAAGAGAAATATGTGGGACAGACGAAAGTGACAGAGAGAATAGAGAAAGAGGCAGATAGAAGAGGAGAAAAAGTAAACTCTAAAAAATGAATTAGATCTAAAACATATGCAAAGATCGGGAATAAAAAGATAGCTAATCTTTTGTTTTCGCCTTTCGATAACGATACGACAATTCTTCTTCCATTGCTATCGATTTAGCAATTGTTGCCATTCTCTCTTGCACTCACATATCACGACGTGACAATTTTTTGCTCTCTTTTTCTGTATTTTACAGATTTATCTTTTATACAAATTACTTAGGCATTGTGATATTCAGGTTTCTCTGCATTTAACTATTCTCGTCTTGACGCCTCACGTCTATGCTTCTCGTTCTTAATGTGCAATTTACAAGCCAAGTATATTCCATTTATACAAATCGTCGAAATGATAAACGCCTTCGACCGCAACGCGAATTCCGATGCTACGATGCACAGGACTCTGCGTACAGAGAGAGAGGTGGTTGGCTAAAGGATTTTTCTACATAATTTTGGTGATGGAGTAACTGTCCGTAGACATCATTACCTATCCACAAGACGGACCTAGTATTAATGTATACAATGCTATATCATTGACTTACTACAAAAATTCTACTGTACATATAAGAACGCGCGCATGATACGCGTCCTGCTCGGTGTACGCAGAGTCACTCGATGACAGAAAAGAATGAACCGGAATTTCTCATACCATTCCACTCCGGAATTTGTCTCCTTTTCTTTCTTTGTATCACAAGTAATGATTAATATTACAGTTACTTTTCTAAGATAAAATTTTGTTTCCCTTTCATACAATTGTAGATTATAAGCGTTTTGTTTACGATTTAATATCTCTCTTATTATACCTAAGCAATAGTTTTTTTTGGCTGCATCCATCCATTTTTATACAAAGACCACTCTTTACTGCCGAGAAGCGTCGAAACTGTGCTTCGGAAAGTTTTACGAAAAGAAAATTAGGCTTTATGTATTTTCCTTTGAAAACATAAATGTATAATCCTTTTTTATTACTATTTGTGTTAAAACAAAGTTAATGCTTCCAAATAAATTGTTTTCCAAGATGTTTTTACATTTTGTTGCTATGCACTATATATATGTACAAAGAATTTTTTATGCATCAAGTATGCATTTCTGAATATATAGTTGCTATTTAAAAATGATTATATCTAATTTATCGTACTCTGTGCTGTAGGAGATGTGACAGTTATCTTCAATATATATATACTTGATGTGTGTGGTGTGTATAGATTTTCATATGTATAATATGTATATTATATATATATATATAATTATATATATAATTTACATATATATATATATATATATATATATATATATATAATATGTATATATATATATATATATATATGTCTATATATAATATTATTTTTATACAATATTTTCCTGATCTTTGCTAGTTCTCCTTGATGTAGTAAGAGAATCGCTTGTTAATGTTCTTACATTTGTCATAGCAAAAACTTGCCTCTCATGCTCTTATAAAATACGATGAGAACGATGATGACGATAGTAATGACAGCAAAGATGACCACAAAAATAATATGAAAAAAAAATTAATATAATACATATACATACATGCATACATATATAAAATATAAATTATATGCAAATATAATTATTTATATTTCATATGCAAATATGTAAGTATGTATGTATAAATCAGCGTACAATTATTACAAATTTCATAATAATGCGTAACTATTAATTTAATTACTAACAATAGATCATACATGGGACGTTGGATCCGAATCACTGGTCTTACAACCATACGTATGTATTAGAGATGGTAGTGATAATGAATGTGACGCCATACAAAACATATCACTGAGTGCAATGAGATATTTTCTTTGTTATATTACATTACATACAGTGGTAATAAAGTCTTACAAGTGTTCTCATTTTAATTATCTTCTTCGTAAAATATTCACCTTTTAGAAATTGTCAAGTTATTGAAGCATGCAAAATTAAATTAAATTTTCCATAATAAAGCAGTTATACAAAAGAAATATCGATAAAAATAAATCAATGATTGGATTTTACGTGTGAATGATCATATATATATAATGTGATTTGTATAAACAAACAAAGAAAAAAAAAACAAAACACATTAATTATAAATGAAAATATACATTACATATGCTATTTTATTATAAAACATATGTATGTATTCCCATGAATAATAAATACAAAGTTTTTTAAACTAAATAAAACCTCAAAATATGATTATAATTATTTATATATAACATAATAAACATAATAAACCTTTCAATTTTTTAAATTGGTGTTTATATATATATAAACACATAATATATATAAACACATTCAAACAGTTCTTTTTTTCATTCATCAGAGAACACTTGTCTTGTAAAAAGAAAGAGAATGTTCAATTTCCGTTTTTGTTACTGACTTATGCCCGGTTTTACCAACATAGATTAACTTTAATCTGGGTAACTTTAATCTCAACTTATCCTTCATCTTCTTCTAATTCTTAGAACTAGGACAAGATGAAGAGTAAATTGAATCGAGATTAAAATTAATCTACATTGGCTGGAAATGGGCATTACTCCTTTTACTGTTTTATACACGTTCAAACTTTGGTGGTTATCCCACTTTCACACATTTCGATAACATTCAGTACAATATGCCCTATTTGTATATTCCTGCGTACATGATGTTGTTAAGAAAGGTTGTAGTGTTTTTAGGCTTTCATAAATGCGAGTAAAAAAGCAAACGTCTTTCTTTTTGATTATCATTGTTCCTCAATAGCAATCCGTCTATTCTATACAAATTTAAAATTAAAAAAATCTTGCTTTTTTTTTATATTAAGTCGAAAAGGCCACTGTTCAAGGCCACAGGCCAAGAAAATTAATTAAATTCAATTATCAAGAAGAGTTTCTGTTTCTCCATACTTTCGTTCATTATTCATTTTCAATTTTTTTTCTTTTTTTTTTTGTTAATTCACAGAGACAGTTAACAGCGTTCTCGTTTAAACATCATTGTACATTGGAAGGTATTATTCTCGAGCATATTGATTCTACACTTAATGTCTGGAAATTAGTATAATTGTTTTCACATTTATACTTTCACGCTCCAGATACACTTACGTGTCAAATGGTACAAAGCATAATTTCAAAACATCTCATATTCTCTTCTTATGCCAAACAACGTGTCAAACAAACAAGATCAGTTTATGTCTATTAAAATAGAGATAGAGCATCACTTCAGCATTAAGATTTTATCGATTTATAGTTACATTAGTTTTTTCCCCGACTATTATTATGTCGTGCTGGCAACGTAAATTTGTTCCACCGTATATCGAATAATTATGTCGCTTATGAGGATGTCTTGTTCTTACGCCTCGTTAACTAGAACATACCTTACTAACTAGTAAGGCTATCTTCAGTTAAAAACAGATTTATATACTTAGTCAGACATTATTGCCCATTATTCGGTGCATCTAATTAAAGCCGGATCTCAGTGTGATATAATGTGAATACGAGCTATCTCTCCATATTAATCTATGCTCACAGACTCACCGGAGTTTCACGTAACTCGATGAAGGTTACACTTGGGTATGTAATGATTTGTGTCGAGGTACCAACCTTTCGTCAGTGCGCACGGATAATGCGTAACAGCCTTGCAACCTCGTTTCACGCAACCTATGTTCGCGCCTGTCAAGCCGCAGGAGTCGCATACCGACTTGGCGGCGTCCCATACTGCTTCTTGCAGTCCCGTTACTCTGCCACCTTATCAAACGCAAGATAAATTTTAATTTTTCTATGTAGGTAGAGCTATATAGGTAGCTCTGCCGCGCTTGATTTATTTTACACATGTTTCTATTATTTCGTCACTTACCTGCCATGTAAACTCCGGCCGCCCATACCGCGCATTGCTCGTGAAGCCATACTTCCCATCGTTGCTCCTCCCCACCGGGATGCAGAGTCATACCCGTAAAAATGGCATTTGTATTACTTTCAACGGAGTTTCGCTTTTTCTTGCCCATCTTCGCGGAGAACTGATCCGCCAGTCCGGCGTACCTCAGACTTCTCTTATTTTTGCCACCTTTCTTCTGTTCCGTCGTAATTTCTTGCTCATCAGCCGATAAAATTCCGTCCTCCAATCGCTCCTTGCCGATTAAATATGGTCCAAATAAGTCGCTCAACACACCGGCTGGAACCTGTTGCACATATTTATCACATTACTCGCATTGCTAATGCATCAACTATTAATGTGCTTTCGTGTATAGAACGCGTCGCATTTAGCTTTCACAAATTAAAGCTTAACTTTATCGTTCTAATCATATAACATCTGTAAATATAAAATTGATATCAAAATATGATGGAGGATGCAACAGTTTTTAAATGGCAAGTGTTTAAACCAATCAGGTTGTCAAAAAATTGCGCGCTCAGGCATACTTCACATTGAAGATACCTGAATTTCACACGCTTCTCATTTAAAAACTATTGCAATCTTCGTATTATGATTTTTGTCTCTCAATGATCTCAGGAATCTGCCATTAACGGATGTTACGGTAGGTCTGAGACACCCTGTATAAAATATAAAATCTATCGTATCTAATCATGTAAAAATGGTATTCAAAGTTCGATATGATACCGAGAATTAGATTAAAACCACAACAACAATAAGGATAAAGTTCGAAAAAAATGTCAATTATCAGAAGAATAATAGATAGAAGAATATCTCGACGCAAATCAGATCAAGCTCGTATTATACTAAACTTTAAGTCATTTCAAGAAGATGCATACCGTGTACGTTCCAGTTGCGATGTGTGGTCCGGCCAGATTCGGATGCGGTCTGGACGGATCGCCGGGAATAACGGAATGAGGGCCTTGTTTGCAAAATACACAAACCCAAGTCGAATCCGTGGTGTGCGCATCGTACCGCGACGACAGAGTTGAACTGAAGAGACCTGCTCTACTGACTTTACCTGCAAAACCGAGAAGTGAGATAAAGTGAATCTCTTCGGCAAATGAAATGGACATTCCATTCGCGCACGCGTACGTACCTCTGTAATCTAAATCGTTTTGGTGACTGAGCCTCTTACTTCGGCCTGCGTTCCCATTACCGACGCTTTTCCGTTTCTCCTTGCTTTTCTCTTCCTCCTCCTCCCGCGGTGCATTGACAACTTGGATACTCAACGGACTGTCCCTCGGTCCCTCCACGTGGACTACCGGACCCCGCGATCTGATCGAACTCGCATTCGAGCCGGAATCGTACGCCATTTCTCTCAGGCCGTCGATTTTGGTATTCTTCTTCGCCTTCTTCAAAGCCTGGTCCTGCTTCTTCGAGCCCTTGGACGTGCGCCTTTTCTTCGCCTCTTTCGACGGGGAGTCGCCCGTCGTGCCGAAAATATTGTCCGACGATCTGGACAATTTCCTCTTGCCGCTCTGCATCTTGCCCTTCTTACCTTTCTTCCCTGACAGCTTCGTGTCCACCGTAGAGGAAACGTCGATGGGATTGTTCTGCATGCTTTGGGAATCCATCATCGTCGGTAGAATACTATTCTCGAGACCTTCAAGTTTCGCGACAGAGCTGTCGCCCTGAATATCCGCGCTCGCGAGTTTCGCTTTTGATTCTTCATTTTTGACATCCGAGTCCGCCTCCACGATTCCGGCGAACATCTTCGCTAACTCAGACTCGACCTCGACGAAGGGATTCGTCGTCGCCGTCGTCGTCGTCGTCGCCGTCGTCGTCGTCGCCGTCGTCATCATCGTCGTTGTTATCGTCGACATCGTCGCATTATTCGTGTTCTTTGGACTTGTTGCCTTCGATAACTCGGACGATGCATCGTCGCTGGATTTTCTCCGTATCCTCTGATTCGTCGTCAACGAGTTACTACCCTCGCTACTCCTCCGCCTCCGAATCGGTTGATTCTCCTCCGATCTCTCCTTTGCGTTCTCGTCCGCCATCGTCGTTTTATCCGATATTCTCTCCTGCCCGCCGCCAACGATCTGCTCGTCCGCCTTAACATCGCCGGCTGCCGGCGTGGAGATAGCCGCCTCCTCCGACACTCGTTCGATAATTCTCGGTTCTGAAGGTTCCGTGGGCTCGAGTTCCATGTCCTCGACTTCCGTCTTCGAGTCCTTGCTCAGCCTCACGGGCTTCTCCAGTTTTCTTTTCCTGCGCTGCTTGGTGTTGTCGTTAGAATCGTCGTTGCTGAACGCCGGCGACACAACCTCGTCCTCCCGTGTCGGCGATTTGGATTTCTGCCTCTCCGGCGACATACTTTTCACGCTGGACGTGTCCTTCTCCTCCACAGGCATTACAATCACCGAACCGATATTCTCGGTGCTCCCGAGCTTCTTGTTCCCACCCTCCAATTTCTCCAACAGGGAATCGACGCCTTTCTTGCCTCTTTTCGGCAAGTTTTTGGGCGATCTCACGCTCGTCTCTTCGTGCTTCCTGTCCCGCTCGGAGGAGGATTCTCTCTTCGGGCTATCCGTGACGTCCTTCTCTGTTTTGGACGTGAGATTGACTATAACGGGTAAGACGTTCCTTGGCACTTGCGCGATAACACTCAATGTATCTTTAGCCTTCGCAGGAACTTCGGACTCTTTCTTGTCCGCAACCACCCTCTCTATTGTCACACTAGGCGGCAAATTTATCACTTTCTGCGTAAAATTCTCCACGTTCATCTCCTTAATCTTATCGTGTAGATTTGCAACTCCTTTCAGATTGCTTTCGAAATTTTTCACTGATATCTTAGGAGTGATGATCTCCTTCGTTGATAGCGAAACTGGTTCGCTGACGGAATTTGGCGTCGGTACGGACGAGCTGATACCGCTGTCCGACGAAGTTTCCCCATTCAGCGGTATCGGCGGTGAGATTATGTTCCCGTTTCGACTGCCCTTGTCCACGTTTCTCGCCGTCAAACTGATGGGAATATCCTGAGATATTCGAGAGTAATTCTCCGGAATAATCTCCGATGTAGACGAGAGATCAAGCGTGCTCTGCGAACCGGGCGAGTTTCTGTACTGATTTTGACTCTGTCGATTATCCACGAGCATCTGCAAGCTGAACAGCGGACCGCCCGATGTGTTCGACGGTGTCACGCTTTTCGAAGGGACTGTGGGCGTGTGCCATGTCGGTGGTGCTTGCGTGTGCGCGAGTTGCGGAGTGAGTTGAGACGGCAGATGGGATGCTCGCGCCATGGATGGATGCGTGTAGAATCCGGCTGGACTGAGCGCGGCGCCGGACAATGCTGTTGGATGAATATTGAGAGCTGAAAGCGATTAAAAATGACATCCATTAAAAACGATGCCGTCGAAAATTTTGCAAAAAGAATACAGTAGCTCGAAATTTAAATTACCTTGATTCTGCGTCATCGTCAGATGATTCCAGACATTCTGCGGTGGAGGTGTGCCAACCGGTGGTCGGCTATGACCCGGATACTGCCCTGACATTTCGAAGCACACCCAATTCCCTAATGTTGGATTGCAGGCGGTAATCAGATCGCTGTTTTCCGACTTGTGCGCCTCTTCCTCGGTGCAGCACTCTTTCTTGATATTATTACATTTGACATTCGACTGCAGATATGTCCAAGATAATTCTTTCGGTTTATCGTCACCTAAGCGTAGCGGTAGCACGTGAGTAACGTACTTGTCCAGAATATGCGCCTTCTCTTGCTTCAGATCGCCGTTCGTTACGATCCTCGCATTTATTTCGCTATTACCGGTGTGCAATTTACCGATCGTCTCCAACAATTCTTTGCTCCTGTCCGAATTACATGACAACTCGTCTAAATCGGAAAGCTTCAATAAACCGTAATCTATATTCTTGTACTTTGTATTATAACAATTCTGTACATCGGAGAAATGATCAATTTGTTTTAAGATAGTACTGTCCACCGAAATTGCTCTTTTCTCAACAACTGACGAATGCGGATAACTGTAGAGTCGGTCTCTTGGCCCACCGTAAATATAATCGCCTCGTGTACTTTCTTTCGAGTTTATTACTAAATTTAGCGGCTCATTATTTGTTACAGGAGTGGTGCAATCGGGATCGCAAGCTTCTTTTCTGTGCTCAATATTGTCCGATACAATCTTCAGTTTAGTAATATTTTGTGTGTTGATCGACTGCCTTGCTGCAGAACTAGAACAGCTAATATCTGCGTCGTGATAAATTTCTTTCTGCGATCCAGGCAAAATTTTGGATTTATCTTTCGCAAAGGAATATGTAAGCACCGTCGTTTTATCAGTGTTCAACGAATTGGGTTTTGCTATCTCACTAAAATCTTTCTGGCAATTATCCAGCCTGACCTTCTGTTCCTTCTGCAGCTTTTCCGCCTGTCCGGATAGTAATTTATTAATTGTACTAATCAGGACATTAGAATTCGCTATCCTATCATTGTGTTGTATTGTTTGCGGTAAGTTTGTAAAATATTTTGAGTTTGGATTAGTAGATTCCGTGGTATCTTTTTTGTGGTACAGATGATATATATCTTGCGCAGTATTATGTGCTACCAATGCTTGCAGATCAACCCACTGCATGTAATTGTTTGATAGCGCCCATTGTGGCGCAACGTCAAATATGTGTCCTGAAAAGAAAAGATTTAATATAATTCATACATTAATAATATAATTTGTATATTATAAAATAACATAAGCTTGATATAAGTCTAAAGTTGTTAGCCAAATTGATAAACAGTTGATAAATATTTATATTAAAATTTCTTTTACAATCAGAGATACAAAATACATGTATGAATGCTATAATTTATACTGTAACATAGAATATTTTATTTCACGCATTATTCGATAGATTTGTACACAGAAAAATAATAATGCACTTTGATATTTTACCATTGTTGGGAAGAATAGAAGAGTCATGACAATTCACACCATACTGAAGATCTGGGCTAGTTTTATTTTGCTCACTTGTGAGACGAGTATAGAAATATCGCTCTATATCTAGTAACCTATCAAGCTTCTCTTCTTGCGATATATGTTTAGACGTGTGCAGAGATTCTGTAATCACAAGAGAAATTATCCCTTACTGATTGTGCTAAATAATATTGCGGTAACTTTTAAAACTAAGATTCTTGCCATCTTCATGTAGTATTATAAATGTTTCAATTGAAATCCAACAAGCTGCTTATTGCTAATACAGTAAATTCAAGATCGCATTACAACATTGTACAAAATTACATTTTTTGAAGAGCACAGGACATTAAGTAGCAAGTGAAACATTATAATTTATATGTAATTGTGGAACTTTTATTAATGTACAAGCAAAAGTGCCTCTGTGTGTACATTTACATATGTTATAGCACAATGGCTGCAACTCAGCTTATAGTGAAACAACTACTGGACAAAATATCCATACAAACAAAATACGTGTTTAAATAGAAATTTATATTTGTCGATGGCAACCTAGCAGCTTGTAGTCTGGCAAAAAATCTGTTGACTCGTATGAATAAATACAGCAGATGTATTTGCGTACACATAAGATAAATATCAACATATACAAAACAAATAACAGCAAAAGATTATTTATAGGAAACGTAGGAATATACTTTTGTTTCATCCTCTTGCTCTAAAGCACACGTTTTCACCTACTGTCGAAAACATCTGCTTCATTTTCATTCATACGACCCACTGACACTGACTATTTAAGCAGCAATCATTCACTGTACGCATCCGCGTATTCGTTAGCACGCATACTTTTGAGCACGATCGCTACAAAAGAACAACATACTCCGCGATGCGTCCATTCGCAATTCTCCGCCGCACACTTTACGACAAGCGTTCACGCCGAAGACGTTTTCTCGGAGTGTCGCGGAAACGCGTAAAACAATCTATCCTAGATTCATCAGGGTTTGCTAAAGGATCTAACACGATAATCGCCGAAGTGTCAACGTTAACGAGCTTATAGGAGAAAAAAAAGAAAAGGAAAAAAAAACTCCGCAACGCTTGGAAGTTGAAGTGGAGTTTTTTTGCAACGAATCGGCAATCGGTCGAAGCGAAACGCGCCCGACGGTTCGCGATCTGAAATTACGAACGATCAGTCAATCAGGTCCGTTGTCATCTACAAGACGACGACGTGCACACTCGATTTGGCATCGCACACTCAATCGGTTCCTCCGGAGATCGGTGCGGTTTCAAAACTCGTGGCGTGCGTTTTGCGAATTCCGGTGGCACGCACCGCGCGTACACATCGCTTGTGTGCGTGCGAGTGTGAAACGTAAAAGTAAGAGACAGCAAATACAGAACGCACGGCACGCACGCATACACGCGAAAAGCAAGCGGCGGCGGCGACACGTTTATTCCGCGTGTCTGTACACCTCAAATACGTGCGCACACAACACACTACGTGAACGTACACATCGATAGCGCGGACGGCTATGCACGCGCGAGCGAGAGACGTGCCGCGAGCATGGAGCTGAGAACACAGGAGAGAGAAAGAGACAGACAAAGAAGGAGCAGACAAAGAGAAAGAGAGAGATGCAGGGAGGAGGCGGCCTTTCCGCGGTGTCTGCATCGACGGATGTTTCCGGAGCGGCCGCGTGTCACCGCCGGCCGATGCGTGCACGCGACACGGATGTCGCGAACGCGCGTGCCGCAGATTCACAAATACTGCACAGATTCGTACAAAGCGAGTCGAGTAGAGTCACGAGTTGTATCACGGCAGTCGGAGCAGTCGGAGTCGGGCACGACCGGTGCGTGCTCCGCGCTTTTCATGCCACCAGTAGCGGACGAACAGGAATCCACGTATCGCTCGCATGCACGCACAATGCGCGAGAATGAATGTGCGTACGCACGCACAGCGTCGCGTTGCCACCGGCGGCAGCGGTGACGGCGGGGTAGGCGGGCACGCACAATACGCACGGCACGCACGCTCCAACGCCGTACCGACACCGTACCACACGAGCGCATGTCGTGTGGGAGCCCGGTGTGCACAGTGTGCACTGTCGCATCACACAACGACGACACGGCGAAACGACAACCCGATAATCTACGATGACGAGGGTGCACGTCGCAATTCACCTCTTTTCTTTCGCGTAGATCGATAGACACGTACAGTTTCACTGGATTCTCCCAACTGGCGATGGACTTGTAATTTCCTCTCGTATGACTATGACGACGACGACGACGACGACGACGATCGAGATGTGTACGATTGTCGTCGAACCAAGCGATCGAGCGAGACACCGCCGCCGCGGCGCGCGTACGTGGCCGCGATCGTTAGAACGGATCTCACGTGCACCTACCACAACGAGGCCCTTCCGCCGTTGGGGGCACGGGCGAATTTATGATTTTCGGCCCAAAAATCGTCAGGGCATCAACCAAAGCAGTGTTTCAACAATGGTGGCCATCTACACAGCGAGCCAGCCCCATGTCGGTCTGACACCTAGCGGTGGCGGCGCAACTCATGTTTCCGTTTTCGGGCGAGCCGATGCGACGCGATGCAACGCGACGGGAGCGGTCGCCAGCGATCTCAATCGGTCGTTCGCGAGATCAATTTTTCGCAATTCTACCTCTCGTTCCATCGGAAATATTATTATAAAGTAGCTCCTTGTATCTCATTTCTTTTTTTCATATAAAAAATTATTCACCATTGTTTTAGGGTTTTTTAATTTTTATATTATCTGATACGGCAAAAGAATATGTATAAGCCGTTTTGAGCGAAGCAATCAAATTTTCTTTAACAAAAGAGACAAATAACAAAATATATTTTCAAAAATATTAAAGTTTTACAGATTATTTTTGCTTTCACAGTAATTAAAGGATAACAATTTGCAGTCATAATAATCTTACAGTTTTTTAAATTGATAACGTATAATAATAAATTTAATTATGTTGTGATTTAATTTCGAAAAAATACCGATTTCCAAAGTTCATAAGAATATATCTTTCATTTTGACTTATACTTTTGTCGCAATGCAACGGCTGTCCAATTCTGAAAAAAAAAAATATCTCGTTTTCGTGATATTTTAGAATTATCCTTCTTTTTCAAGTGATATTCTTCTCACTGACAATAATTACTGTAACTAATTTCTCGAGTCAAACATCAAGAGTACCTGTTTATTAAAACAAGAATATTTCTCGGATTTCAACCAACGTCAATTTTATTTCATTGCAATTTCGACTTTTTCCAATACTCACCAAACCATGATAAACTATTCGCAGCCATACCTTGCATTTTTCCCTTTGTCGATATTCGTAATCAAGCACAACCAAGGTTACACTCTCTCCAACGTGCTCAATGCTATTTCGAAATTATTCGAAGGCAGGGATTCGCAGGAAGGCGCAGGACATAAATATGGATGCACGTGTGATAGCTGTCCCTCTTTCTCGAACGTTCCCGGGGCGCGAAGTAGCGCCATGCATGTCATTATTTTTTTGTCAATTGTTCCCGCAGGATGTCGATGCAGCCGGTATTATTCGACGCGTTCTCGTCATCACGTCGCGGGCGCGTTCCGACGTAATTCGACATAATTTCGCGACGCGCAAATTCGCTTTGTACGCCGCCGTCCGGTCTTGTCGTCAGCTGTTCCGCCGGAATCCGCGGGAACGCCTATGCTCGAGTGCGATCGGTCTGATAAAAAACGAGAGATCTACCTTTGTACCTGCCGTCACGGGCCGATTCTTCATTCGCATTTTCGTTGAGCATCCTAGTTGCTGTCGTCGTAGCCGCGATCGTCGTCACGCACTAGATGTAAACAAAACATCATCGTGACGCAGCCCGCCACTAACCAGCGAAGCACTTAATACGTGCGATGCGACATAATAGAGTCGAAGAGTAGCGAAGAGAGAGTGATCTTCCAAATCCGTCATATTAGCTTCACCATATTTGTTTTCAGTAACAACAACGTTGTTAGCTAAAAATCTCTAGGAAACCAGTTTTGTCAATGGACACTGAAACGCCGTATTGCACGCAGTATGAACTGCCGGCAGATGGTTGAAGCAAATATGGCGATGAAAACACGACACGGTCGGCGACACGCATTACTCTAATCGCGCAATCCGGCAGCGCCAGAATATCGTCAATATGGCGACCGACTCTGTCGTCTGCTCAGTTTGACAGTTACGTGCTGTCTAGTCGCGAATTTGATTTTTTGCCAAGTGTCGTTCACAATTTCTCACAGTCGCGCGCTTTTGGCGCATCACAGTGACGTTTTATCCCGAAAACGTGAATGTTCTCTTTCGAAACAAAACGCCGAATCGTTGATAGTTGGACAAGCGGTTAGCTGTCGTCTGCTACGCGTGCGACGGCTGCGCAAATCGGGTGCCATGGTACCGAGTATGACATATGCGGGTTGCAATCGCGATGCGAGAGAGATTGGTGAAGAGAAATGAAGTAGCCCGAAAGTAGCTTGTAAGCGCGCGATGTGCTTGACGCCGCGAGTGCCGACACGTCGCTGCCGCTACCGAGAATGGAGGCTGAAGTCAGAGTGTACACCGTAGGCACGCTTAATCGAATCGTGGTGATTTGTTATGGATTTTCGGGCGTGAATGACGTGTTGACGCACTATAACAGCGAACCAAGTTTCGCGGTAGCGCCAGTATCATAAAATAAACACACGCGAATCGAGAGACTGTGTAACGTCGTTATCGTACTAAAATATATGAAAAAGTTATATAAAACGCGACGATGTTTATTGGAATGACCGATCGATTGAAATGCTGAATGAGAAGCGACATAGAGATTCGATGTCCGATGGATTTGCTTTGTGCCTCTAAAATGGGAATTGCAACTCGGCAAAAGGATTGAATGGATGCGCTGAATATAAATTTTACATTGTTCCATTAACACTGTTCGATTCTAGTTCAAACTCCAAAAAATATTATTTATTGAGGTACTAAATGCGATCGCTTGATACACCATGAGTTTTTTCTCGTATTATTAGACATTCAGATTAATATGTAGATAGTTGACAACTTGGAACTGATTTGCATTATGATTATGAATACTTGACAAATACGTTATGATGCATTAAATGGCAGCTGATTCTAATCTTAAATATTATGATCTTTGATAAACTGTGAAGTGCAAGCTTTTACGACACAGCTTTTAAATATCAACAGTGAAGATGTAAGACATCTCAAATGTACTTTATACAACTGCAAACAAAAAAGATTGTTTATTGATCATATTTTTTTTAATTACATGACAAGTTTATTGATTGCTTGAATAAGGATAGAATATTTCTGAAAGTTTTCCTGTGATATTTTGATGTATATTGTGAATGAAAAATTATAAACTTATAGCAGACATAAAAATTAATTTTAATAATCCAATTGAATGTCATTGACTAAGGAAAAGAGTGATATGGATTGCTAATCTCGCATTACATGCACCAGCTGTGAATATTATGGAGCAGAGTGAAGGAAATGTCTCCAATATAACTAAGGTAGATGCTTCCCCAAAGTCAAAGCAGAAGAAAAAATCTCTTTGTCGCATGCTGATGAACAAGAAGACTAAAGTTGGCTGTTTAGAGTCATCGTACAAGGATGGGGATTCCAATAAGAATTCTAGGATAGAGAATTCACAACACGGATCTCAAACTAGCACCAAACTGTCCCTGTGTTGCGCCATGACCGAACGTAGCAGAACACCGCCTCAGAGCTTGACTGTCAGCAGACTTTCCCCAACATTAAGTCGCACTTCGGTCAAATCCGAGGTAGCTTCCACTAATGGTGATTGTCAAACGGATGCTTTAGTCGAGAAGGAAGAGATGTATGTTGCAAGTGGTCAGATTCACGCATCTCAAGAGACAGTAATGAAGAGGAATATGGTAGCAGCGGGGAAGGAGCAGCGTCATAGTGCTTATATAGAAGGTAAGACTTGGAAACCGCATTCTTTTGCAACGAGTAATTGAAATTGATGACTTTTAATAAAGATATAAAATTTGCATACCAAAAACATTTTGTTTACTATATTCGCTATAAATAACACAGTATGTTTTCAAATGGCAACTAATTAAATAATATAATAGTATAATAAGCATTAAGGAAAGCGGTCCCCAATAATTTATTCAACAAGTATCGAGGAAAAAGATCTTTCAGTATATTAAAAAACTTCAATTACCTCATCTAATTCCTCCTAAGCATCACTTCTTTTTATGTGCAGTGTGTAATATGGTTTGAATGGTAAAATTGACCTTGCATATCCCCACCACCTTACATTCTAAAGCCATACGTATACAGAGCGTAACACTTGCTCTGTATTGATGTGTAAAGCTATTGTATACGTGGAGTTAAGAGTCAGTTACCATCTTATCTTTTACACGCGTGCATCATTGATAGCGCGAGTGATCGGTTGAAAATGTCGAGTTCGAGTAAAAAACGGAGGAAAAGTTTTCTTAATACATTACGACGCGTATTTAAGAAGCGAGATGGAAGCGAATTAGGAGAACAGCAGAAGGAATCATTTGATGATAAACAAAATATTTCTCAAAATTCTGATCGAAAGGTTGCGTCGCAAGCCGCACAATGTGAAACTTGTGTGCCATCTGCAAAAAGTAGTCCATCTGGAAAGGAATATAATGATTTGTCAAATGTGCAAGGCAGTTGTGAAAATGTAATTGATGTAAAGAATAGAGATACTAGATCAAACGTTGTAGGAATTGATAAGAATGTCGAGTGTCAAAAGTATAGTTCTACGCAAAATGAGCAGAAACATACATTAGGATCAGATAGATATATGAGTACAAAATTACCTTTTTAAAGCAGTCTAACGATGTGGGCGTCAATTCTCAGTCTCGTTTAGAAAACACTGATAAATTGCACGGTAGAGAAGCGGAAAATGTCGGTTCTGATTCCAAAAGCACAATGTTACAATTTCCTTTCGACAATGCTAGCATTATGAACGACACGCGAAAGCTTTTAGTAAAAAAAACAAAAGCGATTTTTCAAGAGAGTAGTGAAGACAGTGACTTCTCTGCAGACTCGACGGAAGACTCATTCGAAGAATCTTCAGAAGATGAAAACGAACGTCTAATTGAGTCTGAAAAAACTCACAGATACTTTAAGGATGAGTACTTTACAAAGGGGAAGTATATCAGTTACTTCTTCCTGGAAATGGAACGGATGTTCTACAATCCTGCAGAAGTTTACAGTATGATTCAGTATCACGATACTGATTGCGAAAAGCTGGGGAAAGAAGGTACAAAATGATACACGAAATTTATATGCTGCTTCAAATTTGATTCTTATGTTTTTGCTAGTGTTTTACGTTACGTTTTTATGGGGTATTGAATTTTTCTCTTCAAAGTGTCGGCATTATAAAATTATTAAATTGACGATCTACATGTTTTTATATTGTACATAAACAATTTCTATTAAGAAGATATGTACATACAGTTATTTTGTATCTAGATTAGATTAGAAACGTAAGTGTTAAGTAACAGGCGTATGCTGTAATGTTGTTTGTGCGCAGCTATAATTGTTTCTTCTTTTTTTACATATCTCTATTTTTTATTTATTGTAAATTAGAATACTAGAACATATGTATTTAATAGGATGACTTTATTTACATAGATTACATGTATTTACATTTTGGAGCTAAAATAATTAGTACGATTTGGAAGAAATTTAGCAAATTGCTCGACTCAAATAGCATATTCTAGTTCCAGATGTATATAGATTTATAACTGAATACATATAATTTTATTGGTATACACGTTCACATAAGATTTTACTCATAACTACATTACGCAATTAAATGTTAAGAAATTTTATTAATCTTGCGAATCTGTACGTCAGTGCAGAATAACTGCCAATAGGTGGCAATTGAGCAATTTGATTTCATTACAGCGGAATGCTCTAATATTGTTATGAGTCTGATTTCTAGGCACGAAGAATATATATTTGTTCTGTATATATATGTTCTTTGCTTTCGAGATAATGTGGATTTTTTTTGCTCAACCGTGACGCACTAATTTTTATTAATAAAATTTTGTGCGCAATACAATTTTGAATTGTTTCAGGAGAAAATTCTTCTTCCGGATCGCTATCGCCGAGTATATCGGGTCACATACGTCGTAGATTGCTTCATAGGAGATCCGCGGATAATCTGATGGTGAATTCACCCACAAATTCCATGAGACACTCTAGTCCGGAATCTATTAAGAGCGCGCCGATTCAGCACAAGCCGCGTTCGACGTCGCACGATGCTCTGTCAAAAAAGAAAGATCGCTACTTTTGTCAGACGACAGGTGCATCTATGGATAGCTTGGCGAAGCAATCGTTGCTTGCCGCACAAGTACTTAATTTAATTCCCACTCAGAAGGCGCGGGAAAGGTATAATTTTTTTCTTTTTTTTTTAAAGATCATTCTCTTGAAAATTTTATCTCGCATCGTTCTTCAACGAATGGCAAACCATTTTTTTGCAGAAACTTTCTTCACGGAAGAATCGCTGCTAATTCCCTGCTCGGACCGGTGGAACTTGAGAAAGTATTGCCGAATCGTGAGCTGAAAATTTTTATCGGCACGTGGAATATGAACGGTCAGACACCACCGAAGGAGTTGAACGACTTTATGCTGCCGTCCGATATAGAGACCGTTCCCGATCTGTTGGCTATAGGAACGCAGGAGTCGTGCTCTGAACGAAACGAGTGGGAGGCGGCCCTGCAAGAGACCCTCGGCCCTTCGCACGTGCTGCTCACTAGCAGTAGCCTCGGCACACTTCATCTCGCGTTATTCCTGAGACGAGATCTGATCTGGTTCTGCTCCATCCCGGAAGAGGACAGCTTCTCGACGAGGACCGGTACGGCGTTTAGAACGAAGGGCGCGGTGGCGATAGCCCTCATGATATTCGGCACTAGTTTCCTCTTCGTCACCGCGCACTTGACCGCGCATCAAGATAAAGTGAAGGAACGAGTTAATGATATAAAGAGAATCGTGAGAAATCTTGACCTTCCCAAGGAGCTACCCACCAGGCACAAGAGCAAAGGTATTATAACGTCAAATATGAGAATCTTGTGCTCTTTACAGCTTGCGCACGTACGAACAAATGTATTTTTCAGACGTGACGCAAAATTTCGATTGCGTGTTTTGGTGCGGCGACTTGAACTTCCGCCTGGCTCAGCCGAGGGAGGAGGTAATTGAATGGATCACGAACACGTGCTTTCCGCAGGAATCGCCGATAAACCTACATAAAGATCAGCTGAGAAGCATTCTGAACGATGGCGCGGTATTGCGCGGCTTCGAGGAAGCCTCCATCACCTTCCCGCCCACGTACAAGTACGATCCGGGAACGCAGAATTTCGATTCCAGTAGCAAGCAACGCACTCCTGCGTACACCGACAGAATCCTCTTCAAGGGGAAGGGCCACACCAGAGGCTACATCAGACGTGTCAGTCATGATATCTCCAGTTCCCACAAGGATGGAGCTATCGAGTGTTTGGTTTACGATTCCGTTCCCAGTATTTGTACCTCGGATCACAAGCCGGTCTGGGGAGTTTTTAAAACCACACTGAGGCCGGGTATCGATACGTACGTGTCCATCGTTTATTGACGTTTCAGTAATTTTATATGTGTATGTGTATAACAATCGAGCTGCTACGTACGTATATATGAGAGTTCCAATTTATTTTTAGAATTCCGCTCGGTGCTGGACTTTTCAATCGCGAGGTATACCTGGAAGGTATTAGGAGGCGCGCAGCTGCGATGGATGATTCTCTGGGAACTTCAAAAGTTTGTTCGATTCAATAAGCAAGTCCGAGACTATTGTGAGCGCTTTAACACAACAATTTGGTAATGTATCTATAGGTAAAGCTATCTGCTGGTTTTTAAGTACTAGGCCGTACGGGAGAACAATCGTTTTGCATCGTTCTCGCTCGATTCGTAATAGATGTTATGTTTCTTTTTTACGATTTACGTATTCGCTAAGTCTGTCCATTTTTTACAGCGGTAATGGAAAACATTTTTCTAGAGATTTGTATAATAGGTTAGTATTACCAGTGAGCATCGTAAAAGTCTAGTCAAACAGTGAAATAAATTGACCGTTTAGCGATTTAGGTGCGGATTTTATAAACGTACTGTCGGCATATACTCCGACTCGTATTGTGCCACACATATTATGAGGAAGATAAAATATTTGGCTCTATGATATTTTCGATATTGCCAAAAAATTATTAAAAAGCGCTCTTTAAGCGTAACGCCGTAAATTTGGTTTGATATAGATTTTTGTAGCAAACTCTTTATAACGCAATATTTACTAAAATGCAATTTGATTAATTGATACTTTAGAAATTGAAAAAAAAAAATGCAAGAATTTGTGTGCAAAATGTATCATAAGATGATTTTATGAATATTAAGCATACTTAAATAGATTATTACTATAATTAGATCAACATATATTAGCCAAATTTATTTTCTTTCCAAAATGTTCCAGTTTTCTTTTTAGATGTAATATAAGTCGTATACCAAACTACTGGGTCCCAATATGAAACTATTATAATTAGTTGTAAAAATATTTATATAATGATATGTATATATGAGTTCCATTTTTATTTGTTAATCGTGTTATTATTGGAATATTCTTATTTATTGGGACCATCTATTGTATTGAGTCTTAAAAAAAGATTTAAAATGGAATAGAATATTTTTCCTTGAGTATTATATATATATATATATAACAACTGCATCAGCAATTAATTACTGAATAGCGTTATTGTTTGGATAGCATAGCGTTTTTAACAGCTCTTAAAAGAAACAGTTTATAGCATTAAGCTCAAAGAGTGATTAATATTTCGTAATAATAGAAGATGTCCTACCATTTTTATCATACCTCTATTATTATTATTCGCAAAGAATAATGACAGCAAGTTTATGGCTAATGATAAAACCCCAAATACACAATATTGTTACACAATAAATGTGCACAAATGAGATATCTATATTTATAGCAGTTTTAGAGATTTACCATTTGTTCCATCAAAACTATGACAAAATATTTGAAAGACAGTCGCCTACATGTACAATATGTGATACATTGTAGTCATATTATATATTTTTTAAACAATTCACTCTGGCTATTATTTATGATTATTAGAGCAATTAAATAATTTCTTGAGTACAAATATTTTTTAATGTAATTATAATTATTATAATTTTGTTATGTCATATTTCGTTGCGTTTTTATACTGAAATGATTTTATTGTTACTGTTAGACTAATTTATTTCTATAACCGATTGTTTTCAAGAATTTATATCTAATGTATAAAATAAGCACAATATTATGTATCTAGGGGATGATCGTATATATATATATCTTTATTACTTCAGCTATTGCCAAGAAGGGAAGGGATGACCGTATATGTATTCTTAACAGTAACTGAAGAAAGAACAGAGACTACTGCTGGACAAACAAGCAACAATATATAAATTACTAATAAAAAGATAACGTTATATCTAGTTGATGAACAATACATAGTATTATAAAAGTTAATATAAAAGTTAAGCTCCACAAAAACGCTTGGAGTGGTGTTTACGCTTAAAGGTTCCACTAAGTATAGTGCAGAACGTAAATGTTGAATAGAGAGGAAAGTGCTTATACTTATTGCAACATAATGTATTAAAAGAAAAAGACAAGTATATAATATATTACATGTTAGGCGATAAGTGATATAGAAATATAAGTATTTTGAAGAGAATACGATTTGGTGGGATTTGTCGGTTAAACTATTAGACTTATAATATATGTATTCTATTATTCCATTGCAAGTAAAATAATTAAAAGATTTAAAATAATCATAGGGTGCTTGCACACTGAACAAATAATCAAAACGATAAATCTTAAATTGGAAAAAAGTGTTTCTATGTGTCCTGACAGAGACATTTTCTGTCATGTATTGGATATTTTAGTAACCTGTGACAACTCCTTTTTTGTAGCCGCGCAAAAACAGGTTGCCAATCAAGGTGCCTAAAATCTATCTTTCGTATACTGATTCTGAGCCTTCTATAATGAAGTGAAACAAAGAATTAAAGATCTTCAAAATCAGGTTGCCTTAACCATGCCTTATCTAAATCGTTACATATGTAGTTATGTATTTGATCTGTGAGTTTGCAATTCTATTGAGATTGTACTTGATTTAGATCTCTGCCCTAATTAGGAAAGGAAAAGTGCAGTGAAATAAATCATCTATGTTGTAATTATTTCTGTAATGATATCTGAATAAATGTCCCAAAGTAAACTTAATTTTAATAAATAACATGATTTTACTTAATATGATATTTTTCACATTGTCTATATAGACACATCGTTGTGTGTAGCTTGCATTCTAAAGGTGCGGCTGACGAGCCATTTAAATGTGGCAATAATGTTGACAAATTCAAGATTACTTGATAAATATATTTCAGTGAAAAATAGTGGAGACTGGAATGCGCATCTCATTATATTTACGAAAAATTGTTTAAGTCGACAGTGATTTATTAGGAAAAAATATTTTGACGGAAGGGGCAGCAACGGGGACGCTAGCTGTCATCTAGCACGTGGTAGCCAAAACAAAATTAATGTACGCCGCCCCTAGATGGCACATGCATGAACTAGAATCTGGCGGCACAAATAAAATTGCATCTGACGATGTATATACATAAGCAATGTGAAAAATAAGAATACTATTACACTATTTATTGTTATTCTACTTTCTCGATTCGATATCTGTCTCGATTATAAATTAAATTATCAAAATAATTATCGGATTATTTAGTTACTTCGTCTTGGTTATGCGGCTTTGTATAGAATTAAAATCAATTTATTTTTTATGTGAAAGATACAATTTTTTAATTATAAATATCTATTGTATCAGCACTCAGCACTTCTACTTATATTTATCACTTTATTCTTAACATTGGTATCACTTATTTTAGTTTCTTTACTTTTGACAACGATATTTTTTTCTTTTTACCAGGTTCCTAACTTGATTAGGAATTATCACACTGAAAGTCATCCTATGCAATTCTCTTAATACTAACTGTACTTTAACAATTAAATGGAAGCGTTAAAAAATTGTGAGTCACTGCAGCCAGAGTCATACATATAAATTCTACATCCTTAGCATCTGCTTAAATTTGAAGTTTAAGCACTTGCTCGAGTCATTGAAAGCAAGAATACATTAATACATGTGCGTCTACTGAGTAATATATATTCTCTATAATTCAGACAAATTTGAAAGTTTTTAGATAACAGATTATGCCGACAAATAGAAAATTTTTAACCTTATTGTTAGAGTACAAATAAATTAATAAATTTTAGCTACCGTAAAAATTATATACAAGATCCAATAAGAGTATATTAATATAACTTGTTTAAATGATATTAGGAACTTTTTAAATTGTTAAAAAAAAAAATAGCTAAAAGGAAGATTCTAAGATATAAAGTAAATATTCAGCACAATTACATAAATTATTGCCGTATTTAAAATGAGTATTAAACAATACTTGTGATTTCAAAATATCAATCATATCATATACCACGATATATTTTGCGTAAAATCTTTTGCATAAGCATCATTTTAAAATCTATATCGTACTTTCAAGCCTTGGTATCTACATATTGTACCTGTATCAGGTACTGCGGACAAAAGGACGGTGAGAATATTTTCAAGCACGATACTTCTGAAAATATTTTGTAGAACGTCAGCTTTTTTTCACTCAGGCTTACATTGGGGTAAAAAATAATTTGTAATAGGCATGTCGTAGTACAAATATATATCTTCTTGTTCAAGTCATCGATATTTTGGTTTTTTTCCAATAATTTCCTTCAATACTAATTCGATTAAGATCTCTCTGTTGATTCAGAAAGACATGGCACTAGATGCACATATATAGATAACTTGGTACGCTCCTAAAATATAAAAAGGACCTTCATATTCTTAACAATATGCAAGTCATTACCTATCATTGTTGGCTGCATTAATTAGCTAATATCCCTCCTTTTCTCAGCGCTTTATCAAGGCGCTTTCCTATAACGCAGTTAAAGACAAATAAATAGGAACGATTAAAATGAAATTTATACATCTTCCTCTGTTCATAATAATTGTTATAAATGCTAGAGTTGCACATGACCGAAATTTATAGCAAGTACATCGCGTCACATTAAATATGTAAGTTTATGTGTAAGTTTTAGACAAATTAACGCCATATACACATTATTCTAATAAGATATATAATATAGTCAATTAGAGGTAAATTTTAGGATTTTTATATGAGATATTTCGCTTTTTTTAATATTTGTTCACTTTTAACAGTTTTTCAAAAAATGTAAGAAATATTAATGCATTGGAAACTGTATAGACTTAGACACACTGTATCACAAATTTGAATTGTGAGAATTTTTTTTTTTTAACTTTTCCTTATGCAAAATTACATCTTTTGCGTTTCCCTGAACAAACTCCTTTGAACAGAATCTTCTCAGGACATCTAAAGCTTTCATCCCTATCGAGAAATTTTAGTTTAAACGCTACCCACAATTTTTAGCTAGCTAACTCAAATTGCAGCGTAAGCAAAATAAAAAATTTCTGCACAAATTCCTAAAAGTATTAAAAAACGCAAGCACAATTTAAGATAATTCCTTTGTCTTGCAATTCATTGTCTCATCAAATAATTTCTACGCGTTCACATAAAGCTATAAAAATTTACAAAATTTATGACACTTATCTTTCTATTCTTATCAATAATATAAAAAGTTATCACTTTTAATGTTAAACAACATAAAAATTGAACATTTTTTAGCTGCTTTAGATTTCAAATTAAAAAAGAACTAGAAAAGAATGCAGTAATATCGTCGCAACATCAGCGAATTAAAAATTAGTATTGCTACTTATTAGATCAATACTCAATTTATCATCTTTTTCATGTAGCATATACATCCGATGTCCGATCATTATCTGTTAGTAATATCGAGCTCTACTTGTTTCTTAAAGCTGTAATTTTATTCATTGTTGTATCAAAATTTATGGTTTTACATCTTTTTTTTAGATTTCTTCATTGTATATGTTAAGATTAACATATTGTTTATAACTTAAAAATGCGCTGTTTATACATATCACGATTTAATGAAAAAAGCGGTAGTCTTATGCATATTGAAAAATTCTTTTCATAATGTAGCATAAAAACTTATCCGCTGTCGCGTCTCTATAGCTGACCACAATAAATAAGCACCATCACATTAATACAATCACTTATCGTATTCATTATCATAAGCAACTCCATTATTAATTGCAAAACATAACAATGGTTAGACATATTATCATGGTCAGACAAAACGTAAAAATATAAATTCGATAATAAACGCGCATATTTTGTTCATATAAAACATAATAATATGTAATTTGCTGCCAGCACATTAAAATTTGCAATAGAGATTTCTCGTGTATTATATACATATGATGAGATGTAATTAAATAATAATAATACATGAAATCAACTATATTTACATATGATATAAAATACCGAATGTAAACAAAATGATGTAATAACAAATGTAAGATCTTAAAAAAATGTGAAAGGTAATAATAATCAGAAATATCACCTTCTTATCATACCGATGAGAATAAAATGTCGATTATTCCCAGGAAGAACGCAGACGATCCTGTTCAAAGGTCGCATTTAAGACAATAATATCTTTTGCTCCACTGTGTTATTTTCCTTAGAATACGAACATTAAGCTTTGTCGATAGAAGCGTCTTTCATAATGTCATCTTTAGTGATATTTTGGTTCATTTGGTCGTTTTCATATTCCACAAAGTCGTCAAATAAACTTGGCCATGCTTCAGCATCGTCATAAGCGCCGAGATCGTCCCCGATGCTTTCAGCAAAGTTGAGAAACATATTCCAAGTGTCCCTAGGTATCCCCCGGATGTGATGGCATTCAAGGAACTTGAGCCATCTCATTAGGAGTGGAGGTTCGCGTATCGTAAAAACAAGTCTCCAAAGGACGATCGCCATGTCAGCCGGTAAAATTCTTTGACCAGACGTCACGTCGAGGCCAAATCGGAATGTGAATCGATAGAGATCCTTAAACAAATCACTATTGATCGTCAATTCCTGAACGATCTCAGGCAATCGCGCCTGTATACCACGTATACTGTCCACCTTCATGGCCTTTAATCCCGTGACAAATTCATGACGTGTGAATTGGCACATTTGTTCTGCATTCAGCTTCCATGCAAGCACAAGAACTTTAAATTCATCGGGTGATAGTTGTAAATCATCACAGAGTTTTTCTATCCCATCAGCTAATATTACATCTTCATGGGGGTCCTTAAAAGTAAATACATAAAATATTAGCTGTAGCATTTATTGATATATACAATCTATAATAATATACATTTCTTTATAATATTAGAATTTATTTATAATCTAGAGAGATAAATTACCTTATATTGGTCGAAAAGGGTATTTAATTTATTCTCTGACGGTTCCCTTTGCTGCTTAGAGTCGATAGTTGAATTAAGACCCGACGATGTGCCGGATCGTCCTAATGGCTGCAATCGCGCGTAGAATCCTCGTGAGCGCGGATTACTTTGTACACTGGGCATAGATCCGCAATTGTCTGAGCCTACATTATTAAATGTAGATAGTGTACTTATAGACTTTCTGTTCCCATTCACGTGAGTTTCAGGCACAAAAGGACCAGGTTGTTGGCAAGAATTTGGGAACAAACCTCTGAGTTCCATTGTTTCTATAAAATGTGATAAAATTATGAAGCAATGAAAGAAAAATATTTCAATATACCTAAGTAATCTATTACATTTTGCAATTTTTACTGATGCAGAATATAATTATATAAAAAATAAAAACTAATACTTCTATATATATTGTTTCAAACAAAGAACAGCTTTTATATAGGTTTACAACATATAAAACTCATGCATGACATAAGATATGTTGTAATAAAAGTTGAAAAATTTTAAACAGTAGAATCGACACTTATTTTTTATTGTTCATACACGTTGGCTCTGAAATACCATTAAAGATGAGTCATGATATTATAAGGTATGTAATAATATCACAACACTAACTTCTAGCTGTATTCTTAAAGTCAACAAATGACAAGATAATAAATATAATTATTTTCTCTGATATATTTTAAGGTAGATGGTAGAATTAATTGGCTTGATACAAGTGACATTGTACGTACCGTCTTTATGCTCCAATGCAACTGATTGATCAATGTCGGTTGATGGTGGAAGTGGCACCTTAAAGCACGAAAAACAGTTTCCCATTGATGCTGACCGTACTTGACATCAAAGACGATTATCCCATGCATCAGTAATTCAGTCTTATATTGGCAGTCTTGATGGAAAGCTAAAGAATAAAATGTACATTACATTATTGTTATTTCTATCACTCACAGTTCATAAAAAAAAAAATATTCATATATTTCAGCTTCATCATGCAATTAAAGAATAACAGAGATAAGAACTCGCTTCTATATACACACTTAAGTAACATATCATCACTAACGCAAAGTATCATTTCAACGCCGAAAATGGAGTGTGTATAACACACGTGAATCACGAAAATTGAACGATACATTCCGACGGATTGCGTGAGACCAGTTTTGTGATTAGGAATTGCTTTTCGGTTGGCTAACGTGTAATCTTTGAGAAATTCCGAATGTTTCTACGTGTGACGAAACTGTCAACACAAGATCGTGCAGTGACGTTCGACGTAGAGAAGGCGAGCATAGTCGAAGAGATGGGACTGAGTCTAGCGTGAAATCACAAATGGAAAGAAAAGCGATATTAAAAACGGCCTGATGACAATACCTTGTTGTTAAGGCGATTTCTCGGTCAATCCGAATGTCGATAATAGTTTCAACCAAGTCCTGCCGTGAGACGATGTCTCGCCTCGGCCACATTCATTAATTCGCCAACAGCAGGGAAGAGAGAAATACTCCAAGATGTGGCGTGCATACGTGCGTGCATGCGTTTTCCGCAAAATCGCCTAAATCAACAGGAGGACGCCGTGCTACTCCCAATGTCGCCGGACATTTTTCCTACGCGAAGACAAGTCCCCGGCAGTAGGATTCGGCCTAGTAACTGAGTCTGCATCATTCGCGACGATGCTGTTACCTCACGCGACCATGCGACATCGGCGATGACGGCGGTGATCTCATTCCAAACATACAATATTCATTCGTGATTGCAATCAACACAACTGGCACAACACATTCACTACTAAGCGATCATTCCGTGAAAACACCACGATGAAGACGTTCCTCGTGCCTCAGTGCATCCGCTAGAAAAATGTTCCTTGATCGTAAACAAATTTCTGCAGCTAGAGTTATTTGTTTTTCTATGTTGCACGCACTGAGCTGTATATTCACTAAACTATACATATACATGTGGCGCCCTCTCGGCTTGCGATAAGCAAGCCTTTAATGTTTAGTTTTGATATTGGAGTATTGCCACGAATTTTCGCATCGGATTTGATGGAAGAAAACTGCATAAACGCAATGAGAATTTTCTACTGCAATGTTGGACGGTTTTTCCAATAGAAAAATGTGTTTTCTAGAAACTTTTGCCAATGTTATTTTTATCCCTAGAAGACAAATTTTCTTATTGGATATTGAATATTACACGATAGTGTATTTCATATCACAGAGTTGCATCAATTAGGGATATTTAAAGCATAAGCATTCCATTAAATTTTACTATTTTGACTATATTTGAATTCAAAATTACATTCATATTAATTTATTCATTATACAAGTTATTACACTTTTCTCTTTTTTTAATCTTATGTTTAATTTTTTACATAATAAAATCTTCTATAAGAGAAAAGATATATATTATCGATATATTCATTATGGAAATTATATAATGACCACTTAAATGACAATAATGCAGAACGCAAGATATATATCTGTTAATATCTTTTTTTTCCTTTATTAAAGATATTTGGCAAATACTTTTATTTAAAGAATTAGATTCATCTAACCTAGTGTCGCAGCATTACAGATGTTTCCCTCATAATTGCACTCATTTTTAAATAAATGTAGTCTAAAATAACCATTCTTATGTTGAAATCTTTAGAAAAATTCCTGATTAGCAAATTATAAATTCAACACAAATATGGCACACAAATATGGCACAAAAATTCTTTGAGATGTAATTTGATGCTGCCCTTCTCGTTAAAGCCTCTTCATATTATTTTTAATTTCTACGCATATGTGCATATATATAAGTTAATAAAATATATAATTTATATTATAATTTATTCGTCGTGTCACACCGCATCCCATTTAGTGTGAAATATATATGATCGCTAACAATCAACAATTCAAAATAGTAAGCGCATAATAAACCATAAAAAGCACTATAAATCGATACCTTTCGTTGCGACCTTAAAAAAATATCAAATTCTCCCGTAATATTGTGTTAAGAACGATCTAACACTCTGTTGCGTACTAGATTCACAGCCTATATATACATCATAATTTTCTTCTCGCTATGTACAATTTCGATCCCATCGTTCACAAGTTTAGAACGATTACGCAGCTCTGCCCTTTTTCTTTTTACAACCGATATCAACCTTCAAGCGAAACTGCTTAGTGTCTATTGTCACAGCGACAAAATCAACAAGTATTTTCACTACCAATACTGTTGAATTTGCTGACGGATATTCTTGCCTGACATTGCTTGTGTTTCTGTTCATTCCTTGCAGAAACTTTCTTTTATAATTTAGTGTCACCTTTTGGAAAGTTGCTTCTTATTCATGCATCACTGGAGTGTTTGTGGGTTGCTAAGTGGTTTATATCCCTGCAATGTAATATTATTTATATATATTAGTGATAAGCGTAAAATTTTTTTTTGTACAGATGATAAAAGATATATTAGGTATTCAAAGAATTTTTATAGTTCTTTCAAATTTATGCATAATTAACAATAAGTAAATCAAGACAAAACTTAACAAGAAATAATTAAAAAATAAATCAGAAAAAAGCAAACTATGCATTTGAAAATAATAGAAAAATTGAGTGGCAATAAACCATACAGCTTGCATTTTTCAGTGATTCATGCTGCCATAATAGGGTACAATTAACCGCTTGCCGCCTGATCTTACAGTGTTATTAAATGAGTCGCGCAAACGTTCCGTGAACGTTTTGTACTCCATCTCTGGGTTACTTTGCCCAAAGTCGAAATCCGCGACCTCTACCGTGAATCTCGCTCTACTCTGAATGTAATAAGCCACACCAAACACTATCAGCACCACAGCTACGAGTGAGCAAGAAACTGGAACTACGATAACTGATAACTGTGGTTTTGTTGTAACTGCAAAAAATATTAAAATCGCCGACATTATTGTAATTACATCAATAATTAAAGATAAGAGAACGGATATCATCTACAAAAACTTACCTTTGTAAATATTTATTGTAACTGGATAAATCTGCTTACTGACGTTGTTATTTAATATTATTAATATTGTATAAACACTTGGTTCGAGAAAATAATGAAGAATGGGAAAACTGCAGGAGTGCAAATGATCCACACTATCGCATGTCTCGTTTCCCGTTACATTATATTTTCCACTGTGAAATCGAAGACACTTCAAAAAGGGACCTGATCCTTTGCAAGTCACATTCAGAGACAACATATCCCATGGTTGGATCCAATTTGTGCCTTCTATTGAGATGTTTGATATAGGAGCTGAAAATGTTGAACACAAGATTATGAATATTACAATTAACAAGTAAATTCGTTTACAAACAATTCCTCCATGATATATAATAATTATAATAATAAAATATTATTCGTATATTAACTCACCACGAACGTAAATCTTGTTATAAAAGTATCCATATGTTTTGTTAGGATCTGGAGGAATAATAGACGTATTTGAACAAATAAAAGGCAAAGATATATTGGCAGCATCTATGCTTGCATTACTCGGAGCAGCTGTCGTGAAATTTATTGGTGACTTTGCACTTGTGACAGTTGTTGGTAATGTAGTTGCTATTATATTAGTTCCATTTGGAGTTGTAACATGAGTCCCATTTGGATTTGTTGTAGAAGTAATCGGTGTGACTGTTGTCACATTAGCAGGAGACACGGTCGTAGTTGTAAGTGGCAAAACAGTGGTAGTCGTTGGCGGATTGTAAGAAGCAATCACTAAGGCTCCTATCTCGTGCGTCATATTAGGACTCGTAAAATTGTAAGCAAAGGTGAAATCGTTTGTTTGACCATAATATTTGCAGTCGATAAACCAATACGTTGATATCGCTGTTGCCTTCTTCATTATAAAGTTGTAATCACTTTTACGCATGTCTATCATTAGTTTTGTCTCACTTACATTAGAGATATAATCTCCATCTATAGTTTTATTGGCTTGCTGCATGGTTATGTTACCACTTAGATATTCTGGAATTAAAACAGATAATACAGATAAAATATGATATATGAAGACAAAGATTGTAAGATTAATTGTTGGCAAAGTTTACCAGAGATTTCAAATACTGTATGTGCACTTGTATCAAACATCCAAATAAATATAGCATTGTATTCGACTTTTATCTCTACATTGTAGCTTCCAGGAATGTTGTTTTCCCGTGGATAACTAATGCTCCAAAATGTTGTTGTATTTGATGTTTTTGCAGTCTAAAAAATAACAGATAAAATTAAGAGTCCATAAAATTAATAGTACATAAAATTAATAATCTATGATAACAAGAAAGAAAAGTATGACTACAACTGATATCAAGTGCATATAAAAATTCATTGATTTAATTCATAAATATACAAATATTAATACTGCTATAAAATTTAAAATTATTCTAAGATAAATATCAAAGAATATATAAAACATTTTATGTGATTGAAAGTTTTGAATAATCTGTTAATATATTAAACTAACAAATAATATATTATTAATTACAAACCTGATATTCATGATTCATCAATGAATTATCCTTCCACGTGTATCTGTAATAATTCCCATTCGGCCGTTTGCCGTCTTCTGTGTATAAATCCGCTCTAAAAGTAATTGTGCCACCCAACACAACTGATCCATCATGTGTCAGTTTGACATAATCCTTGGCAATAACTGCAAAATAATTAAAATTTATAACGCCACGTGTTGCTTATTATCAAAATTAACGTCAACGATAAACGAACATCGTGGGCGTAGACGATGACGCATAAATACGAGAAAATAGCGGCGTAATAATGACAATGCAGCATGACAGAACAGGAAATTTCTGCAAGCTACGCAATTATGTGTGTGTGTGTGTTATCACCTTGTAAGAAACACCAAACACCCCAAACGAGGTGGCAGTAGAAACGCGTTGTTTGCATTCTGCACGTTATTCGAATGCGTCACATTCGCGACTTCTTTCGGATTCTTTGACATTCATTCAAAACACCGACAACAATCTCTGACAGTTCCCCACTGATCCTCACTGTTCCCCACTAAATCGCCATTTTGTGCTAAACACGTTCACCAACTTTACAAATAGTAAAAGTCAGTAATACCAACAGAATATATCGTACAATCGGTAATGTCAACGTTCTGCAATTGCTTTAATTGCAATATTATCTAAAGTAGATAATCGGCGTAAAAAAACTATGTTTTTATCTGCACAGTGTCATAAACATGCGGCAAACATCTGATAACAGCTGATACGTGACACCTGTTGAAAATAAACTTGAAGTACCTGTTTTTAGAATTTAATTCATTTTGTAACATCGATATATTTGTTCATGATGTTTGGAAAGCTTTTCTCCGAACTTCTGCCAGTTATTCGACGTTGCAGATTCAGGACTGAATTAAATTCCGTCGATGCATTGAAGTGGAGTATTAAACGTGAATATGGAAAGTCATCCACTTTGTATGCCGAAACGAACAGTGCGTTGCCTGTGGACGAGGAACTGCAAGAAATTTTTCAATTTAGAGACACCAAGATTAGCAACTGGATCATAGAGGTTTTTGTACTACAAATTGTATTCTTTTACGCTGTAAAGTACAATTTTTTTCTGTTAAATCTATATCGAGAAATATTTGCAGAACAAGACACATGCGTTATGTGTCAGATATACTGAAAGTAACAAGGAGGATCGCCAGCGAATTTTGCGCATACTGGCTTCACAATATGCTGTGCAACATAACAATATATGCCAAGTAGCAAAGAAGTTAGTCTGTACTGAGGTATACTATTTTATGTGAGTTATAAGCAATATTTTGATGAGCTTATACTCACAAGATACATTAGATCTTATTCAACAGTATCAATATTCAGTATATTTCACATGTCAAATGTATTTTTTTCACTATCACATTTTAAAAGATCATAATCATGCAACATTCCATGGGAAACATGTTAATTTAATTTTATTACAGCCTGAAAATGAAAGGCAAATGATCAATCATGAAAGAACCCTGAAAAATGTTCTTACACCTGCATATCAGTGGCTATTTGTCATTATGGGAAGATTGCAGTATGGTGTGAAATTTTTGGTTGATTTAAGAACGGATGTTCTTGTAAGTCAAGTGAATCTTTACATAGTTTGCTTGTAGATGACATTTTTACAATATTGGGTTGATTATTTTTATTGAGATATTTTACTAGGAACTAATGTCAGAAGTGAAAGATTCTGATGAAAGCATAGTGATACAGCAGCTAAATCACACCTTGCAAGATTTGTTTTTACTCTGGTTTTCAGTAGGTTTTTTACACATGGAACGTATAACTTGGGAAAGTGCGTGTGACATATTGCAAAAGGTAGTTATACTTTATAAATATGCAAGGCAATCTACGATAAGATAATCCAATTTTATTTATATTTATTCTCTGTGAATCCAAAGGTCTCTGATTACGAAGCCATACATCCTATGAGAAATTGGTTGGATTTGAAACGCAGAGTCGGGCCGTATAGAAGATGTTATATATTCACACATCCATCCATGCCAAGAGAGCCTCTTGTTGTGTTGCATACAGCATTATGCGACATTATACCAGGTAATGCGGAGAAAATTGTTTCCGAATTTCTAGTACATTAATTTTGTTTCGTAAAAGGATTATCTCAGCTGATAATGTTTTTTAATATCTTCGATAGATAGTGTGAAAGGAATTGAGGAAGCTGAAACTAGAATCCTAGGAAGTGCAAAAAAACATTTGACATTCTTAGAAGAAGACAAATCGAAGATAAAAGCAGCAATATTTTATTCTATAGCATCTACGCAAAAAGGATTGCAGGTACGAATTGTGGTTGGTTTGCGAAAAAATTTTAGTCAGAGTGTCAGATATTAATGTAAGCCGTGTAACTCTGTACTGCAGCTAGAAAATTGTGTATGGATATAAAGAAATATTTTTGTACAGGGCATTGAGCTCGGTAATTACCTTATAAAAGAAGTGGTCAATGAGATCAGAACTGAATTTCCAGCTGTGCAACAATTGTCTAGCTTATCACCGATACCAAACTTTAAGAGTTGGTTGCTGGATAAACTGAAACAAGGTAATTGCTGGTTATTGGAAAAAAAAAAAAAAATAAATAAAGACATATATTAATCCCACAGATGTGGCATTTATATTCACCGCGCAAGAACATGCGATTATGAAAGATATTCTAAAAACAGAAGAGATAGTATCAGTCCTGAAAAAAGTTCTCAGTACTTCATTATGGACAGGAGATAAGCAGTTGTCAGAATTTTTGAAAGATCCATTACTCCGAGCATGTGCTTGGTACTTGTACAAAGAGAAAAGACGCGGTTATGCTTTGAACAATGTCGGTATGTTCTTTATAATTCAATGCACAAGAATTATATATTCAAATAAATATATAATTTTTTTTCTCAACAATTTATGTGCTCCGCAGCTAATTTCCATTTACGCAATGGAGCTATGATGTGGCGAATAAACTGGATGGCTGATCCTTCACCGCGTGGAGTAGCGAATAGTTGCGGTATAATGGTCAATTATAGGTATGCACTTGAAGATTCACTCCAATTCGTAAAGTACATTTTAAGTATTACATGCATATCTAAATCTTTTCCATAGGTATTTCCTAGATGAATGCGAAAAAAATAGTCGAAATTACATTGAAAATTTTCTTATAAATACTTCGGAAAATGTAATTAATCTTACCACGAGAGCGGAAAAATTAAGAACTGCATTGTAAACATGTGACAGAATTGTGAGAAAAAATTACAACACAAATCGTGACTACGAGCAAACGAATATCTTGGTAAGATAATAACAATGACTACGATAATGAATTATGATTGATAGCAAGGTGAAGGTGCCTAATTTATTCATAAAAAAATTCTCTTTATTACTCTTCAAATTTTATGTTTTTATTAAAGATTATTAAATTTGTTCATTTATACAATAGCTGATTCGTTTCCAGCTTAAAGACAGCACAATGGTCTGCAGACAAGTCTATAACAGATAATATAAAAAATTCCAATTATAATTTAAATATTATATCTAATGTTTCTTTATTTTCTTACAGTAATCACAGAAGAAGAGTATGGAGAAACAATTGGAAAGTGCAATCATGTTAAAACAATTTTGAAAACATGGAATTACTTAGAATTTCTTTTCCACATATTTCTACCAATGCTGACGCGAATATACTTTCCAAATTTTTATATAAAAAAAAAGGAAGAAACAGAAAAAAGGAAGATGAGTACACACCTGTAGTCAAGGCTGAGTTTGGTGAAAGTTCGCGGGAAGATGAGGTCTACTTTCTAGTTTTGTGTAATCCAAATGGAATTCCTTAGCTACCTTTCTCCAGTTTTGCGCATCAAAATAATAATAAGTACCACGTTCATATGTCGATGTCTTTTCTACAATTCCCAAACCTGGCGCCTGCGTTATCCAAACCTTTTCCTCCATATGATATCGCCATTCTCTGCTGTACCTTTACACACACGTACATAGAATTGCATGAGTCTCGCGCGTAATATTACGGTAATATTTTTCGAAGATGAAAGTCAATTCTATTTGTACTTACAATTCCGCCGCCGCAGCTAATTGCAATACATCCCCAACATTTGTATAAAACATATAAAATAGTAGATCGTCTTTATATCGATTTAATTTAACTGGTGCTAACTTATCCCTGAAACAAATATAAAAAATTTAATTTTAGTGCTAATTGTTTAACATAAATGCTGTATAATTATTAATGAATAATAATTAATACAATTGTTTTATATCCATCTATGATATATCACACAGCGATACAATGATTCTATTTACTTCAATGCAAAGTCAATGATTACACTTTACTTTTTTTTAAGCTCGATATTGTTCGGAGGTTTACATTTCAAATATTTGATGTGCATGCAGTTTGCAGATCTTTGTATAATGTGCGGTGTATATAATATTGCAATGCAGCCTTAAATGATGTGCGTGACAATAAGACAAAATCAGTACCTGATAGCAGCATTTATAAGATACTCCGGTGGTACATGAAAATCGATATCCTGCGGTCGACAGGGTGTTTCTGCCCAGGGGCCACCAAAATTCTGATAAAGATTTTCCGGCGAATTCAAATTCAGTCCTAACGCAGTAAGATCTTGGCCTAATGCCAGTGACACTAAATTCGGATCCGTTTCCGCTGCTCTAATAAACGTCAAAAGCCCAACCATGCCAAATTGATCTTTCACCATACTTGCAGGTATGTTCGTCACCTTGCCTGTAAATGATAATTACAAAATTAAACATTAACAAAAATTTATTTAACCGCGCGTGTAATCGCGTATCTTCCGTTGGAGACGATACGCTCGCATTAAACATCTCCGTTTACCATCGGGCGATGTTTGGATGCCTCTTTTAGAAGACTGAGATTTTTCAGATCCAGGAGCTCTGTTGGCTTGCAACACATCCTGTCCGATCTCCGGACCTAATCCTACAGGTATATTCTTATCACCAGACACACTGCCACCGGGCGATGGACCTTCTCGGTTTTGCGTACCCGGTAATGCAGGAAAGTCCTCCGAGCTCATAGTAAATTCGCTCGACTCGGATGTTGGTTGCTTCACCATTCCAACTGTAACACGTGCGAACAAAAATTACGTTAGCAAAATAATCTGCTTTTATCTAATGCCAACATTCGAAAGTTTCGTAATGCATATATGTACAAGCCGCGTCTGAATACGCTATCCAAAGATTTCAATAATTCCACATCAAGTTATATTATTAGAGATTAATAATATGACTCTCGCTCTTCTCTCTATAAACTTACAAATGTAATAAATTATTATGAAACTATAATATAAAGCTTTTTACTCGAAAAAAATAAAGTAATATTCAAGTCGATATATGTTATGCATGCAAACAATCGTTTACGTAAATGATAAAATATTTGTTCTTGCATTTATATCTTCTTGATACTAACCATAAGGCTGTTTCCCAGGCATGGGACTAGGTTGCGGCATAGAATCACCTTGACCTCTATTTGTTAGGGAGGGAAACTCCGAGAGATCTAACAGAGGAGGAGTACTCGTATCTCCTCCACCTCCACTCCCAAAAACAGAGTGGAAATTGTTAACCGCACCTTGAGATCCGTAATTACGACTTGGAGGTATTCCGAAACTGCCCATACTACCCATTGGATTTGAAGCTCTGCAATACAGATGGAGATGACTGCAGAGAAGAGCAATGGGCCTTATGTTACTATCTACGCTACAGTCTCGCTTTCTCAAAGTGGCGCGACAAATAAATCTAGTTATGAATTAATCTTATTAGGAAAAAAAGAAAAACTCACCCAAGAGCAGGCATCGTACGTCTGTCAGTAAAAGCTCTCTGCCCAAACAGTCCTCTACTGCCCATAGGAGAGAGTTGCTGCTGTTGCTGGTGACTATTCTGTCCGCCGCCAGAGCCCGACGCTCCGGGATAAACGTTAGTAGCAACTATCGCTGTATTCGCTGTACTCGAGGTGCTTGCAGACGAGCCTGAGAACATGCCCGAGGTGGGCGTGACATGACCCGCAAGGGTCGACGTGTTCAAAGCACCTCCGCCGCCAGCTGCGCGTGAAGTGAGACTTGCGTTCGCAATACTGCGTGGTTGTTCAAAGTTCAAATTGGCCATAGCCCGATGGCACTACTATTAGAAAAATGTTTTTGCCCAGAAACAGGCACACCACAAAGCACTCTTGTTCCGCAAGCTTGTTTAGCACATTCACTTATCTTTTTTCTAGTACAACACTCGTAAACTCTTCAATTTCATGGAATCGCCAATGATCCATGACAAATATATGACTATTTGTAATCTGTAACACAAAAAAATCTTGATTAGTTTCCTATTGATAATCAAGTCTCATTTGAATGCATGCTATTTACCTCTTTTTTTATCACAGAACTTTGATAATAGTTACATTAAAATGCAGTACAGAGATGCAAACAAATCTAATAACAAATAAATAATTAACTTAGATGAAACAACTACACAATCTAATGTATAAAAAAACATGCCATTTATAAACATAAAAAAATTTGCTACATCTAATAGAATCAAAAATGCCTATAGTAAGGATTGTGAGTTTCCTATATAACAATCATTGAAATTAGCATGTGTGGATGTGTATAAACATCTATTAAATTCATTTAATCAATGTTAATTCTACTATAAGCAGATTTTTATAGTTTTAATATAGTTATAATAACTATAGCACATGTTTTTATGTTACTTATATCACATGAAAATCTGTATTTTAATACATATACACTGAATTCGAAAATAAAAAATTTATGTTAACCTAAAATTTGAATACACAAATCTAATGTAATCTGCTTATATGCACACGCACATGCACACACACATGCAACACATCGGAAACAATTTGATGTAAAACCCACAGATTTTACATCAAATACACGTATGGTCTCACTAACACCAATTCTACCTTGCAGAGGCATAAGTATACAATAATGATACTTTGTTTTTTCGCACATTTCTCTCAAAAACTGTGAGAGACATCTAAAGTTTATTCACGAATACAAATGCAAGTCGCCACGCGTGCCAGTAAACACGAGTAGCGCGGGCCGAACATCGATATTGACACTATCGAGACGGGTTGACAAGCACAAAGGGGCAAAAGGTTATAAAGTGCGTAAGACGTCAAAATAACGTGAAGAAAGAGTGCGGCGCACCGCGTTACTACCTGGGACAAGCGCCACCAGCTGTGCGTATCACGATGCGACGAGTCCCATCGTGCTCACGACGATAAACAAAGTGGACGAATGTTTAAAAAAAAAACAAAGGAAAAGCACACACGCGAAAACGCTGTCGATGTTGACTCTCGATCGGTGGTTCGGCTGGTGGTGTTGGTGGACCTCGGCGAGGGGGTCGCGCGATTCCGTATGAAGCGGCTGTAAACTGTCACTCTTCTCTCGTGCGCGTTAAACTGCGAGCTCGTACGTAGACGTCGGGGCGCGCAGCGATCAGGATTCCATACACATCACAATGCCCTTCAGTAACAGGACCCACTGTTTTGTCACTCGCAGTTACGAGAACTTAAACAACACTGAAGGCACGAACGTCTGCCATATTAACAATTTCTACGTCGGTGCTCAAACAGGCAAGCTGAAGTGCGTGTCGAGTCGCTCGGCGGTTCTCGAACACGGTTAATATTGTGCGTAAATAATCCACTGTTGATATTTTCGTTTCGATCGTTCTCCTACGTAGCAAAAATATCGTTTACGTTCGTCACCTCGGCGAAAACGGCAACAGTTTCGAATTTGACTAAGGATGCGCGATTTCTCACCACGAGTCTAGGGTGATTTCTAGGAATTGTTACTTTTCCCAAACACGCGTGAGCACTGCGAATTGAACTCGGTCACGAGCTAAGGGCGCATTTCCATTGTGCTTTGTTTTGAGCAAAATGAAAAAAACTCGCGAAGCGTTATTTAAATATTTTTGCGCATTTATTTGCAGTGTTTATTTAAAAGAGTGCGATATTTGAAACAATTAATTGTTAAATTGTTACAAAGCAGAATTTGGTAAAAAATTAACGCATTGAAAATTAATTGACTCCACGTATCTGCCAATGAAATTACTTCGACTCGATTTGTCCAGCGTGAGATTCGTCTTGTTGTCACTTCAAGTCGACGCGTATCGGTTGACTGAATAATCTATGGTAGGACAATAGCCAAGGTTTGTGATAGCGTTTTATAAACATTTTACACTCGGCTAAAATATAAGCCCTATTTCGCCCGATCTTGTCAGAGTTTTGTTCGCGCTAGATGAAGTGCTGTTGATCGCTAAGCTAAATACGTCTAAGGGAAAAGACAATCCTATTCGACTCAAGAATGGCATTAATTAGGAGAGCTTCTCACGCTGGTAGCTGGTACTCGGATAATGGTAAGAAATCGCCCGAAAAATGCATTTTATTTTTTTATTTATCATTGATATACATCGACGATAGCCTCTGTTATTTTATGGCAAATATTAATATAGTTGGATTTAACGGAAAAGATATATTAATGTTTTTAATTTATTTTATACAATTAATTTAACATTTAAAATACAAATAAACTGTAATATAGTATACTTGTCATCTAGAAAAGGTCGAAATTAAATCTGATGATAATTTGTCTATGATATATATGTGTGTATACACATGTATATTTACATATGTACGTACACATGTACATGTGATATTAGAGAAGTCTGTATTTTTGTTTGTAACTGTGTGTGAGATAACTCTCTGAGTTGGAAACATTCTTAAAAAAAAAAAAATCTATTTTTTTACACATGTCATATATGATTATATATATTATTTATAACAAAAATTTATTATTTATGTAAAATCAATATTATGGCTTTAATTATTTTATGATACTGTATACTATTGTTTTACTGTAGGTTCAGAATTAAGCAAGCAATTAGAAGGTTGGTTGGGAGCAGCTGACTTATCTCATGGACCTGCAAGAGCAATCATTTCCCCGTTAGTATCACTTATATAATATATTTTCAACTTTGACAAGATGTATATGAAAAAATAATCTTACAATTTTGCAGGCATGCAGGGTATAGTTATTGCGGGGCATGTGCTGGTTTTGCTTATCGGCAAATTAGTCCTGTTGTTGTGTAAGTATGAATTTTGCTATAACTAAATTAATCTAACAATACATAAAGATCTACTTGGTTATAATTGACAAATGTATAAGAAAAAAGACATTTGAAACACATCTTTAGAACGTAATGTATTATATATTTCCATTATTTTCTATTCATATTTTTGTAGTAGTATCTCTCTTGTAGGAATGTTATAATTAGAATGAAATATAATAATATAAGAAAAATATTAGATTCTGTTTGGATTAACTGCAGAGTAATTAAATTAAAAAAAAAAAAGAGAGAAATGGCGTTTTTAATGTCAATTTTTATAATGTATTATAGAATACTTAATATATTAGTTTAGTTTATAATTTTTCAAATTTCTCAGTCAAATGAAACATGCAACGTGCTGTTATGCAGCCGTAGGATATTTATTCTAGGCCCTTCTCATCATGTGAGATTGCCAGGTTGTGCCCTATCTTCGGCTTCTGTTTACCGAACACCGTTATATGATCTACATATCGACCAACAAGGTACATGGATAGTCTTACGTTTATTCTTATATCAATTTCATTTATTCTTTAATGCTTACAACGGATAAAAATATCAAGCATGTTAAATAAATTGTTTCTTAAACTAATCAAGAGCGATCAATCACATTAAATATATGCACTTTAAGGAGTGTATTTTTAACAGTGAGAAGAGAACTTGAAGAAACTGGTCATTTTGAATGCATGGATCTGACTACAGATGAAGAAGAGCATAGTATTGAGATGCAGCTACCATTCATCGCTAAAGTTATGGAAGGGTACGTTTAGAAATAAACTAATTCCCAGTTTTATAATCGGAATACTGAAAATCATATTGACGAGAAATAACAGTAAGTGTGGTTTGCGCCATACATATTTCTATTTATTTTTCAAACGCGGAAAATAGATAACTTACGAATATGGGACTTGTCTTATGTATAGATTCAAGGACTTATTTACCATAATACCTATTTTGGTGGGATCCTTGAGCCCGGAGAGAGAAGCGCTTTATGGGAGACTATTAGCACCTTACATGGCTGATTCACAAACATTATTTGTCATCTCTTCAGATTTCTGCCATTGGGGACAGCGTTTCCGCTATACTTATTACGATAGATCATGTGGGCCTATATACAGATCTATTCAAAACCTTGACAAAATGGTATGTTTTTTTGATTTATTACTATTTAGTCTTCTATTTTGGAAGGCAACTTTTTTTCATAATTTAAAACTACTAAAAAGTTTGATTTTATATGTATTTATCAAATCTTTCTTCTGTGTGTTCATTAAATCAGGGTATGGACATTATAGAGACTTTGAATCCTGCTATGTTCACGGAGTATCTTAAGAAATATGGTAATACTATATGTGGCCGGCATCCGATTGGCGTTTTATTGCAGGTAGAAAATACAAAAAGTTGAAATCAAATTATTTTATTGTTAAGTAGCTTTCGACGAATTAAACTCTTTACCTTCTTTAATAATGTTGCTTTCTACTTTTGCAGGCAATTCACAGTCTTAAAGGAAACACAAATGGTCAAAGGATGAATCTGAAATTTTTGAAATATGCTCAAAGTAGTCAATGTAACAATATGAATGACAGTTCTGTCAGTTACGCTAGTGCTTCCCTGGTTCTCGAGTGATAAAAATATACAATTTAAATATGGTCGTTGACCAGTTTGAATATAAACATTTTCTTAAAGTGGAATGATGTTTGATAGTAACATGACAGTAATGTTCTATAAATTATGCGAGATTAAACAAAAAAGTCAAGATTTTGTAATACAAAAGGATAATAAGACAGGGAACGCTGAATTTAACCGCTCTAACTTTTAACATTATTTGCATATATACTGTTTGTGGCTACACAACAAATGTCAGGGCAAGTGTTAATTCTTACGTTACATGTAACAGATGTAATGTATCGTTACGGAAACCTTTTGTATAAATGCATTTTGGTTTATTACTTACATGAGATATGCAGTACTTCCAGATTTCAATATGGGAAGGAGCTTAAATATTTCTTTGCTTTGATTATTGGTACAGCTATAGTATGTGTCGTAGCAACGTGCGTTTCATGCGTATTTTTGAGAGAGCAGATTTCAAACTAGCGGCAAAGAAGAGAATATTGTTGCTATTTATAAACAAAACTAATCAAATTAATTAGAATTGTTGATTTTATATACGTAAATTTATAATTTAAATAATCTTAGCATATATTACATATGTTAACAATGATATGATTTATGGTGCTTAAATTTTATTGTATATTTAGTCTATATATCTAATATAAATTAGCATAATTGTAAAAATTAAATAATTCTGGATTTACCTGAATTAATTTAGGCTATGATTGCAAAAAAAAATGTTATAAAAGTAATATAATCTTTTGATATATTTTAGACATTTATACATATATTGAAGAATATTTATTAAGTGGTGTTACTTAATACTATTTTTTTTATCACATCATTTAGAGATTTTAGATTAAATCTCTAAGTTGTCTCGATTAAATTAGATTTGATATATCATAATTGTGGGGTTTGCTTAAATTATTTCATCGTCTCACTGTGATCTTAAATTGCATTAAACTCAATAATGGGCTCATCGATGTTATGTACATTACTCTTCTGTGCCCTTAGTGTGAATAATCTGCATTGATCTGCATTGTAATAGATATATTAATGTGCGAGTTAGGACTTAAAATCTATATTTACATTCTCTGTCTTTCTTTTCATACAAAGCAATGGAATGATCTCATATCCTTCCTATTCTATAATCTATTGTTACCTAAGCATAGGAGACTAAACCGAATAATCCGAATATTGTATTACTGTAATGTGGGTATAAGTCTGAAATAGGGTCAGTACATATATAACTGAAATGTGTATACAGCGAGTCTTGAAATTCATTTGTTTATTTATTGTTTTTACATTATTTACAAACTACCGCGTCAAACAATATATTATTTCTCAAAATTATAAATGGTCCGCAAAACACTATCACACCAGAACAACCAAAATAAATGATGTGCAAGAAGCAATTTATTTTCCAGTTAGATAAATAACTGTTTCGTAACAAAAAAAGAAAAAAAAAGAAAAGGAAAGAAATAATCGTACAGAATTGTATAACTGATCCTGCACACGTGTTGCTTTTTCTATCTTTATATACTGAGGTAATAAGGTTTATATTTGTATGAAAAAAAAGTAGTATAATCCATATCTATATATTGTTTCATAGACGTGTAATAAAATTACATGAAGAAAAATATAAAAGTTTCTGTACACAACCTGCAATAAATATTCCTTAGTCATATACGCATAGTTGTAACAAATTTCATTTTTTGTTTCTCTCAATAATATATTAATACTTCTAAATCCTCTAAATTGTCGTTTATAATGTCAATATAGAAAGAGTCGCTGTAGCTGAATACAATATCACCTGTTCCTCAGTCTTGATTATTCGGTTATTGTTAAATATGTGTTAATTGGTTGCTACATTTAGACAAATATTGTACTGTTGATCTAATCCGATGTAGCAATCGGAAATCAAGTAGAACGTCAACTTAGTCGGTCCTGAAATTAATTTTCAATTTTTAGTTTAAAAAATACATGAGAAAAATATACAAATTATGTGAGTGAATTTACCTAAATGGTGAGGAGTGGTAAACTGCAACTGATGAGATCTGTGCTGGCTATTTACACCAGATACTCTCTTCAGAGCCAACAATTCTTTATTACGAATGTCGCCTAATATTAAGAACCAGCTTTCATCCTTTCCCTTCTGAAACATTGGACAATGTGCTTTTAAAGTTCGAGAATGGTGTATCCTTCGCAGCCCGATGTTTAATGTATACTCCGTATCTGATCGAACTAATATAGCATCATTCTCTTCATGCGTCAATGTTATCTTCCTTTTCTCATTGACATCCCGAGAACTCTCCAATGCCAAATCAACGGTTATTGATGGCATTTCTCTAATTACTTGATGTATCTAAAAAATGCATAATATTGAGAGTTTTATTATATTAAATACATAACGACATATTTTATAAAACAATAGGTATAGTCTTTCAGCAAATTCTATTACCTCGCGTATTTCGTTTTCGTAGTAGTTCTTACACAAAATCTTCTCGAGTCTATTGTAATCGTCACGCGTAATGAAGCACAACTTCGGAAGAGCCCCTGAGAATGGTGAAAACAAATGCAAGTCTTCCTTATTTATGTGTGGTAACGTTGTAATCGCAGATTCATCGATCCATTGTGCTTGCACGATCATTTGAAAGATTTGCGTTATCCTCAGTGTGCTAATTAACCAACCACGTTCCGCGACTGTGTCGATCATTGCCTAAAAAATTTTCATCAATTACAAAGTCCAACTTATAATTTGTAAAATTAAAATTTAATTTACTCAATAAAATTTAAATTTATTTAATTTAAAAATAGATCATACATTTAAATTAATTTACTTTAAAAATCGGTTAAATTTATCAAGATATAGAGTATGTTAAATACTTATTACACTTTTCAGAGTTAATAAGAATTCAATAATGTGTACCTGTATTATCCTGATTGCTTGATCAAGTACTGATTTTAGATCGGTGATATAATCGGTGCACGGTAATGGAAGCCTTGAGAAATGTGCTTGCAGCAAGAGGAACGCTTTTGTGTGCGGCGAATCATAAGTGTACTGGTCCACGGGAAAACGGCACTGTGTTGCTAATTTCCTGTCGCAAAGTCGCGCTTATCAAGAGTAGCAGGCGAAAACAAGCGAATTATCATAAACATCCATTATAAACTTACTCATTTAACAGTTCCTCGTTGTGTCTCACAGGTAATTCGTTATATTCGTGCGAGTTGCAGAGTATATGTAGATACTGATCCAATGACAAGTTTTCTTCCAGTGATTGCACAAACATCAACATCGTGTTATGCGATAAATAATAAAACGACGCTATCTTCCCCATCGGCAGTGAAACTAGTGCTTGTTCGTCCTAATTCAATATAGAATTTAATATTAAATCACTATATCCGTTGTGTGTTGCTGTAAATTTGATTATACCTCGTCGAAATCGATGCAGAGTGAATCTATTAACGTCTTTAAAGTGTCCTCCACCAACATCGAGAGATATTCATTGATGCACTGAGGCTCCAAGACATCCAGGTTGTAATATTTTGGGTTTTTCATCAATCTTCGAAAATAATACGTCCACGTCAAGTAATCGAGAAACTCTTGCTTGCTCTTGATGGTGCCGGCGACGATCTCGGCGTTAATATGATCGGGCAATACTTCCATCAGACTGGACTCCACGGGGAACGGCTCGTACAAGAACTTCTTGTAGAAACTCTTTTTTAAGTCGTGCACAAGGACGACTGCCACGCCGGAGTTATCGAATTGCGGTCTTCCGGCGCGACCCATCATTTGGAGGACATCCGTTATCGGCATGTCTACGTAACGCTTCAGTTTGCCGTCATAATATTCCGTGCCCTTTATCACAACCAGATGAGCGGGAAAGTTGACGCCCCAAGCCAAAGTAGCTGTAGTAATTAATACCTGAAATAACAATTTATTAATATAATGCTTTATCGAAGATGTGTACATGTGTACAAGAAAATTAGTAAATTTTTTTATTAATAAAAGCGCGATTATTAACTTATTCCTTATCATAATTTCTTTATATCAAAACCAAAGTCCAATCATGTACCAAAAATATCGCTTCAAATCGATTTTGAAAGGAAAGAATATAATTCTTACGTACCGATTACAGTTTGGTCGGGAAAGCTTGTATTCAAGCGTTTAATTGAATTCATTTTACACTAGTATAATATTGTTTTGTCGTGTTCGATAATGCATCAGGTTTTACGCACCATCGAACAATTTGCTACTTCCAGGATTACTTAATGCACAGCCGCTGATGTTCAATGTAAACGTACCTGTATCTTATTATTGACAAATAATTCCTCCACGGTTTTCCTGTCTCTGTCCTGGAGGCCGGCGTGATGAAGGCCGATTCCGAAGGCAAGCGTGAGCTTCAGATTCGAGTCCTTTATATTCTCCAAGATGTTATTCATCTCTACCTCCTGCATGCGCAGCCACTGCTTGGGATTATCCTCCACCGCGAGATAGGCGATCAGATCCAGGGCGGTCAGACGCGTCTGCCTGCGGGAGGACACGAACACGAGTGAGGGACTGGAAGGCGCGTGTTGCCTGATCGCCTGGAACGTCGGTCTGTTCATGGTCGCCATTCGGGGGCAATAGTGCTTGCCGGGGAAGCCGCTGATGTGAACCTCCAACGGCACAGGTCGCACGGACGGACGGAAGTTGTAGAGACCCATCTCTTGGATGCCAAGCCAATTGGCGAGATCGATCGCGTTCGCGAGCGCGGTGGACAGCCCCACGATTCTGACCTTCTTCTGCGTGTGCGACGATATGAAGTTGGTGCGGGAGATGATCACCTCGAGCACTGGTCCGCGATCCTCGCCGAGCAGGTGAATCTCGTCGATCACTATGAGCGCCACTTTCCTCACGTAGTTACGCGTCTGCCAGCTTCGGCTGATGCCGTCCCACTTCTCAGGCGTCGTGACGATCACGCTCGCGCCGGCTATGATCTTCACGTCCGGCGACACGTCGCCGGTCAACTCCACCACTTTCTTGCCCAGGTCTCTCTCCAGTCGTATCTTCCAGTCGTTTATGCGCTCCCTCACCAAAGCTTTCAACGGCGCTATGTAAACGACCTTCTGATCGGGATGTTGCTTGAAGACGCGGAACATGGCGATCTCCGCCGCGATCGTTTTCCCCGAGCCGGTCGGCGCGCCGAGGAGAACGTTGTTGTCGGTGTGATACAAGCAGTGGAAGATTTGCGTCTGTATCGGATTGAAGTGCGTGAATTTGTACAGACTCTCGAAGGCCTCGTTCTTCAGCACGGTGATCGGTAACGGCTGCAGCTCCAGCAGATTCGTGTGCGGCGGATGAGTCTCCGGCAGGATGAGATCGTGGAAGGTCAACGGCAACGTGCTTTCGCAGCCGAGCCAGTGATCGCTCGTGACTCGCACCAGATACTGCGCCGGCAACGGCTCGGACAGCGGTATCGTGATCACAAGCTCCTGCTCGAGTTGCTGGCAGACCATCTTCCTCGTCAGTATGAAGTACTCGTGGTGGTAGATAAAGTTGTTATCCGGATCCTCGATCCATATCCAGAACGCCTGCGAGCTCTTCCCGTGAACTCTGTCATTCCAATGGAACTGCGGGATCAGCTTGAGCCGTATCCTGAGAACGGTGCGCGTGATAGGTTGCAAATTGTATTCCATTTCCAACACGGGCAATTCATTGCAGCAGTTCTTCACCAGCATTGCCGCCCGTTGGTCCCGCAGGATGAAGCCGATCTCCTTCACATCCATCTCCTGCAATCGATAGACCGCGAGATCTCGCTGCTCGATTTTATCGATCACCTCCATGGACAGGCAGTCAAACTGACGCAACGGTGTCAGGAAGCTCCACTGCTGCGCCTCGAACATCCGCGCCAATTCCAACATTCGTCCGGCCATCACTGCGTTGTTCTTCCGAAGCATGATCTCGAACAGCGCCCTGACTATCCGCGCGGCGTTCTGCGTGACGTAAGCCTGATCGGATATCAAGGAGGCCGTGTTCACGCGGCCCCTAGACAAGTATGTCTGCAACAGAATGTTCACCTTGCCGTAGACGTTCTCCGCACCGCCCTTCGCCACGAGCTCGCATCTGTTCAGCAGCTCGTCCAGCTCGCCTGTCTCGTCGTCCCGTACTTTGAGCTGCTCAAATTCCTGTGCGTGCGATATCATCGCCAAAACTTCCCCCTCGTTCATGATGTCTGTCATCATGTCGTTGAAGATTTCGACGGTGTCGTACTTGAGATAATAGTGGCTGGCGATGCGCCCCAAATCAGTCGTGCTGAGATCACCTGTGCGCATGTCGTATCTAACCATTCGTGCCTTGTCCAGCGCCGTGGCAGCCTTATCCACGAGTCCTTTCCGCGTCTTCTCGAGATTCGGATCGTCCAGGAGGGTCTGATAGACCAGGCCGTACGCCTGGAAGTTCAATTTCATTCGCACAAACAAATAAGTGTAACTCAACCATTCGACCGCTTCCGCCACGTTGGATATCGTGCCTAACGCTATCTCGGCGTTCAAATTATCCGCCAGATACGTAATAAAGCTGCTTTCGATCGGTATTTGATTCGTCAGTAGCGACAGATAGTGCGACAGCTTGTCATGCGACGTGATAATGACCGCGTGGCCCGTCGTGTCGAATTGCGGTCTGCCGGCACGACCGAAGATCTGCAATACGTCCAATATGCCCAGGTCCACGAACGAGCCGTGCTTCGAATCGTAGATCTCGGTTCCTCGTATGATGACCGCGTGCGCAGGCAGGTTCACGCCCCACGCCAGTGTGGCTGTGCACACCAGAACCTTGATCAGGCCATCGGCGAAATATTTCTCGACCAGATTTCGGTCCGAGCGCATCAAGCCGGCGTGATGCACCGACAATCCGTTGTTAAACAACTCAGCGAGGTGCTTGTTACGCGACTTGATGAAGGCTTTGTTCACATGCTTTGCCTGCTCGTCCGATTGAAAGTATTTGAGTGTGTTGTTGTTCAGCGCCAGCTCGCGCAACACGTTCGCCATTCTTACGGTGGCGTTCCGCGCGTGTACAAACACCATGACCTGATGGCCTTGCTTCACCATGTCCACGACATTGTTGTAGCACACGAGGTCCATGTCGGTCATCTGCTGCAGCGGCCGGACGGCCTTGACGCCGATAAACGTCTGACTGAGCGGCACCGGCCGGAAGCGCTGATCGAAGTAGAACAATCCCTTGTGAGGATTGACGCGCAAAAATCGCGCGACGTCCACATAGTTCGGCAACGTGGCGGACAGTCCGACTATTCTGATCATACTCTGCGACGATTCCACTTGGCGCAGAGTTCTCGCGACCAGCGCCTCCACCACCGGTCCTCTGTCGCCGTGTAGCAAATGCACCTCGTCGATAATCAGTAATCTTACAATGCTGGTGAGGGCGATGTCGCCCGTCCCCTTCCTGGTGACAACGTCCCACTTCTCTGGCGTGGTTACTATCATCTGGGTTTGCTGGATTTCCAATTTCGTCAGTTGCATATCGCCGGTCAACTCGCGCACGCACACGCCGAGAGGGCTGAGTCTTTTGCTAAAGTTGGCGGTCATCTCCGCTGCTAGGGCTTTCATAGGCGCGATATAGATTATCTTGAATTGGCTCTTCTGCAACTGTCCGTCTTCAATGTTCTGCTTCAATTGGTGCACCACAGTCAGCATCGCCACGTTTGTCTTTCCCGCTCCGGTCGGCGCGCAAATCAGTAGATTCTCGTTAGTGTTGTACGCGACATCGAAAACGATACTTTGGATTTTATTTAATGATTTCACACCATTGAAAGCCATTTGACCAATTTCATCCAGAGAAGATATCAACACGGGATTTATTTGAATGTCGATAATATCTTGTTTCGGTATCGGTATGTGTACTTCTTCGCAGAGACTATTGTTCTCCCTCCTAACATCCTCGGCCAACAATAACTTCTTTCCCGATACAATACTCGTTTGCTTAATACTCGCTTTAGAATCAAATACAAAACGATACTGTTCTTGTGTGCCTCGCTCCAGGATATTTTTTGTTGGAAATAGTGGTTTACAGCTAGCTGTCAATGCTTCTTGTCTTAGAAGTCGTAATGAGATCGGATCAATTTGAGTTTCTTCAGCATCCGACTTGGCGTCTCTCTTGTTCGCCATTTTATTCCATTTCTTTTCCTCTTTACGTACCTGTTTGTTCAACTGCTTTTCTTCTTCAGATTGTACAATTACTTGACTACTGATTGCAGGTCTCGGTGCAATTGTTTGTGATTTCTTGGTCACTTTTTGGATGGTTGAATACGTCGATATGATCATCTTCTGATGTTCAATAATATATTCGATAAAATCTAAATGTTTATAACCTAGCATATCAAATAATTCGGTTTGTATATTTTCAGAGGTTTTTATCTTCTCCACCATTACTGATTCAAAATTCTGATACGATATATCTATACTGATTGCTTTATGGCAATCTTTTAATCCTTTTGTGAATGTTGCTTTGTCAAACTGTAATTGGAAAACAAAGATTTGAGTAATTAAAATTAATTTTCCGTTCATACATATCTAATAAATACTCACTGAAGATTTCTTTTGCACTGAAGACTTTGTTTCATGTATCATCATTGTAAATTTATCAGTACTTGAAATTGTTCCTTCTGTAGACATGTTATGAAGTTTATCAGTATCAGGCCATACAACTCTTGCCTGATTGTAAGGAATGTTTGTGCCAAAAATGTGTCGATCAGGAATATCAGCATCTGTATTCTCTTTAAATTCTGATAACAATTGTATAGCTTCTTCATAAAATTTTGTCTGAATTTCTGTGATTATCTGTATAAAATTAAATGAATAAGACAAATCGAAAGACACATTCAAAACTAATTATAGAATACATTATATCTTACCTGCATTATAACATTTGCCAAAGTAAATGATATGTGTCCTGATTTTTGGCCAAGCATATTATATTCTTCTTGCGTTAATGTTTCTTTATGGATTAATAAATGCAATGTAAAAACTGTAAATTCATTTATGACATCTGGCGAGGCATCCACTAAAAAGAATGACAAAATTGCAAAATGTATGTTGTAGAAAAAAAAATATATTAAATACAATATATATATCAACTATTTTATAAATACAGGGTGTCCCATTTTAAAAACCCCATTTTAAAAAATATTTAATGAAAAATAACTTCATAGTGTTTTGAAAAGCTCTTGACACCAGCTATTAGATTTTGGAATCAAAAATAGGGTGTTCTATTTAAAAAAACAAAGTTGACCTCCATATGACCTTGGCATGTACACCCTAGGTTAAACCAATGTCATCATCGGATGTCCCCCTCCAAACCCAACAACTTTGTTCTAATTCATTTTTCTTGAAAATGTCTCTCTGAAAAGTTATTCACGTGGAGTTTTTAAAATGGGACACCCTGTATATAATACAATAAAAATATGAAGTACAAATATGCAAGAAAAAAAACTATTTCATATATTTAAAAAAATTTACTATTTAAAAAATCATATTTATTAAAAATTGTTTTATTTCTATAAGTTGATACTCACATAAAGCTTGTTGTACAACATTTCTCAGTTTTAATAAATATACCATAAGTTCTTTAGATGCATTTTCACATATATCATTCCAATTAAAATTGCTGTAAAATGTATAAATATGAAACTGTAAAGATCATAAGAGGTTTTGCATCTTATAATATATATATTTCTAATAAATATACATAAACATTATTAAATTTTTTAAATTTACTAAATAGCCTACATATAATTTTTAAATAGATAATATTATTCAATATCAACCTTTTTAATTTTTTTTCCTGCTCTTGCCTTTTTCTCAGTACATCATTTGGTTCTAATGTTTCTCTTCTGCGTTCTAAGGAAGTAAACATCCGCAAGGACCTAGTTATACGTGGTAATTTTGACATTGTGTATTACCTGGTAATCAAAAAATTCAACATTATTATAATACTACTATATTCATACATATAACTCATCTATCACTTACAATATCTTATAAATATGTATTACAAAAAATTTGAGAAAAAAGTATGTAATATTTTAATAATACACAAAACTTTTTTATATTAATTATTTTTTACATTAAATTACATGTTTATTCCTTATAAAACATATTAGAACATTAAAATAGTAAGCATTTTTTAGGTTATAAGATTATAAAATATCACAAATTATACTCCAGATTAATAACAATTGCACATTTAAATATGAGAGCAAAACTTGAAAACACTTTAATTTAATATCCCACTTATTTTATAAACTTTGTTAGAACAATTGTAAATTCTGTTGTCGGTCATAGATTCTAACCTAGTTCTAACCTGCAAATTGCAATATTATCTATGAATTGGTTTATGCAAAATATTAAAAAAGGCATGTTTTATTTTTGCAAAAATGTCATAAAATTATAAAACTGTTCAATTTATGACAATTACAATCATTCTTTGTAAAACTAGATGTGTTGCACAATATGATACAATACTTAAAAAATTTCAGTTTTTTGTTTAAATATATAATCTTTATACAAAATTTAACAGAAATACATATTTCTAATAATGGATTTAATAAACAAATAGCTGTCATTGAAATTTAAGAAATATATAATTCGCGTAAACGTTAATTGTAAAATGTAACAATCTGTCATTAAGCATTTATTTGCAAGCAAGATTAAAAGATATTCGACAATTTGATTTAAATAAATAAATATTATATTTTAATCGATTACGTACGTAGGGAGAAGCCTGGATAATAGAGGCAATAACAATTGAGTAACAATGGTGATCGTCAACTATTGAAACAACGGAGGAAAATAAACTTTTAGTTATGTGATTTCCATAGCAATGCGATAACACGTGATAACTAGCGATAACATTTTCCCGATCGTATTTTGATGTCTGTGGTTTCAGTGGTTTAAATCTCTATCGCGTTCGACCACTGAATGCTCCGTCTTACCAGAAATAACTAGAAATAGCGCTTTTTAATTAGTAGTTGCCATTTTTTGCGACGGGACTTTTGCAACTTATTTAGAATCGGCCTTAGGCCCTGCGCACAATAGAGAAAATATTAGGAATAAAAATAAGGCTGTTCCGAAATTCACTGCCAGTACTGAAAATCTATAGCTTACGTCACGTATATTGTAGATTTTCAATACTGGCAGTGAGTTTCGGAACGCAGCCTAAATATTAAATATTAGGAAGAGAATTTGGAATTATTTTACTTTAAACAAAGGAACGAAATGTATTAGTTATTCCTAATTCTTAATTTTTAATTCATAATACGTCAATATATCTCATTTTTTTATTCAGAAATAAAATAATTCAAATCTTCTATTCCTAATATTTAATATTTGTTTCTATTCCTAATATTTTCTCTATTGAGCGCAGGATCTAAGTGTCAAATCGTAGTCACGTGACCAACGTCAACGCTGCTATCTAGCGTCCCATGAGTTTGTGCTTTTATTCATTACATCTAGTTGTCGCTACGATCGCAAAGTAGCAGCAATCAAACGTAACGGGGGTAACAAACAAACAAAAAGTGTTGCAGGTGTCAAGAAACTTAAATACATGATGACGGATCATAAACAGAGTTTTGACTTTATTTAACTTTGTGACTAAAAAGTGAGATGTCTTCAAGTGCTAGAAAATCACCGCGAATCGAAGATGTGAGTTTCACGTATTATTCATTTGCCAATTCTGTTTGTAACCTAAATCTATTACTAAATTTTTGATGCCATGTTCAAATGTATGTAAAATTTGCTTTTTTACTTAACTGAATAAGAAGTTGTATGTGTTAAATTTGTTTCTAGTTAATTTCTACAGAAGATGATACTTTGGGATCCTCCATAAGCCTGAGTGTTGGAGAGAACTCAATACGCATTAAAGAAAAACCTAAACCTATCAAGGAAACTGAACAATTTTTAATTGACAGAAAGAATTTGCAAGATAAATGGTGGTTGAAGAGGCCTGAAATACATCCAGAGATTTTAAGTGCCAAAAATACAGATACGAAGATGAAGCTGTCTCCTACTTTTACATCGGACGTGAGCTCTTCTATGAAAGAGTTTCTCGAGAAGGAAAAAATGTGCAAAGTAATTAATAAAATTATGAAATGCTATTACATCTTTTTTGCTAAGAAATTTAAAATAGTGTATGTGAATATTTTTATGTATTATTATCTCTAACATGTTACTTAAAATTTTTAGGCGATATCTAAAAGCGAAGGAGAAGTAAAAGACAAAGATGACACTCTATGTGACATACTTGCATCTGCAGCTTTTGATAAATATCCATCAGATTTTGAAAGTAAGTTTTTGCATAGAATATATAATACTGATATAATACTATGTATAATACTGGTCGGTATTTATACTTGCTTTGTTTATGATTCATACAGATGCCACTGATGAAGATATTGGCAGTATATTGGAAGAAATGAGCAAAATTGCTGGTGCTTTAAGTCCTAATTCAGGTGCTGAAGGAATGAAATCTGGTGGTTCCAGCAGGAATCCCACCGAAGAAGAGAAGTCTGTAGAAGAATTGTTAGAAGAAGCCGAGAAACTAGTAAGGAAAAACAGTAATACTCTATCAAAAAGTACATCCAAATCTGACACTCTAGTGCCGGAAAATAATCAGAACGAAAGCCTGAATAGAGTGAGACAGTTGGAGGCTGACATTTTCCAATTAATAGAGGCAGAAGTGCACAAAGAAACAGAAAAAATAAAGAGAAGTCCAAAAAACGAGAAGAAACGGGAAAGCAGTCCTGAAATTATTTATGAGAACTTAAGTAGTTTGAAGCCGCCAAAAACGCTGGAACTCCAAAGGAAAAAGTTTGAGGAACAGAAAGTTGAAATATCGAGTAGTTCCGATTTGGACGATCCGATCGAGAGACATTCCAAGTCCGAGGAATTAAAGAGCGTAAAGAGAATGGAAATGGATAAGGAGAATTTGCAAAAGGAAATCACGGACGTGGACAAAGATTTTTTTGAGGGTTTGCTGAGGAGATCCAAGGAGAAGGCGGAGGGTGGAATGTCCGGGAGTTCCAGTTTTGGGCAGGAGGATTTCTCGCACTTTTTGAAACTGCTTCAAGGACAAAGCGTGGACAAAAAGGAGCCAGAATCAAAAGAATCTAACATGATGTATGATTTCTTTTTGAAATCCACCAACGGCGAAATGTTATCGGCTGCGCAGGGTCAATTAGCGAGTGGCAAGACCCCAGAATTCCCGGAAAAGGAATTTTCCGAAATATTAGAAAAGGAATTATCGACTGCCAGTGATGATCACGAAATTAAAGAGAGTGATTCTAGCGCGAGTGAAGGACAACCTAAATTTAAACGAGAACCTAATCTCCCGTCAGCTGGTCCAATCTTAAAAAATGTCAGCAATGAATCCAAAAAATCTGTATCAAAAGATGTAGAGAGTAATAAAAATATAACCGAGGACAATAAGAAAACGGAGGCTGAATTGTACACAGTGGGATTAACGCCGAGGTTGGAATTATTCGCGGATGCAATACCTAAACTTATGGCCGAAAAGTTGAGTGAAAGTGTCGTGAAGGAAAACGCGGAGAACGCAGATACGGCGCACAAAGAGTCTCCGTGTTCAGAAGTGAAGCTTGAAGCGAAGTTGGACAATTTACACTCGGCTAAAAGCCTGAAGACTTCTCAAACGAATAATCAAGAAGCGTCTGGTTATGATGTATTGGACAAACCGGCAGAAGCGCCTAAAACCGATCGTGTTGTTAGTGCGCCAAACAACAAACAATTGAAAAAAGAGATAAGATTTTGCAAGTCTAAGAGTTACGATCAAATATGCCAGCCTCCGTTGAAAGCCTCCCTCGAAAATGTCAGAATCAACAAAGCATTGGATGTCTTCAAGAAACCTATGAACTCGGGCTTCAGAAAACCATCGATGGTAAAACCGAAAGCGCAGCCATCCCGACCGATTCCCAAAGCCGCGCCGAAGCCTAATGCATTGCCGAAATCAAGACTGGACCCCGTCAAAACTGGTTCCACATCCAGCTTGCCAGCTGCATGCACGAAAGGATCTCAGTTGAAGTCGCCCGACAGTTACAGGAAGAATTTAATGGCCGGCGGGGACTCAAAGCAGAATACAGTAAAGCGTGATTGGGAGATGATGTGTCGCGAGGAAAGACACAAGAATGCGCTCTTGAAGCAACAGTTGGAAGCCGAGGCAAAGCTGTACAGGAGTCAAATCGACGACATGCGCGCGTCCTTCGAGGGAGAATTGTTCGCCCTGAAGAAGCAGAATATAATTTTAAAGGCGAGAGTCGACGAGCTGTCTTTAAATGAGAGGCGCGTAGAAATTCCCGCCAAAAACGACATGAAGGTTGCTCTTTTAGAGCAGGAACTGGAGAAGCAAGAAAACTTGATTCGCGCTTACGAGACTGAAAACAAGAAGCTGATGCAAGACACAAAACGCATGCAGGAGGAACTGAAGACTATACAATCTAAGCAAAAGAGCACAGTGTCGGAGGCGAATGATATGCAACGGCTCGCCGATCGCGTGAAGGATCTTCAGGAAGAGACGCTGAAGCTGAACCTCGAAGTATCAGAGCTGAGAGAAAAGAATGCCGATTGTCTGCTGAAAAACGACGACCTGACGCAACAGAACAGCTTGCTCACGGACGAATTGGAGATGTTCAAGGATCAGCTGAGGGCAAAGAATAACTTTATCACGGATCGATTGCACGCGATGACCACCGCGGAGCTCGATTTGAAGAAGCAGATAGAGGATCTGTCTATTAAGTTGAGCTCGAAGATGGAGCACTTGCGAATGACAAAGCAGGACCTGGATAAGCTTCAGCAGAACATGCTGCCGTTGGAGAAAGAATTGTTAGCGCTCAGAGTCAAGGAAGAAAACCTCTTGGAGAAACTGCAGGTAAGCAAGAGCCACACCGAGCGTGAAAAGCTACTGACTCAGAAGCTGAAGGATCAAGTTATCCTGGACAATAAGAAAATCCTGGATCTGAACAGACAGGTGCGCGAGCTTGAGCGCATATTGAAGAGGAAGAACCCAGATTCCGTTTCGGCTCTCATATTAACCGCCAACTCGGAGCACGAGAAGATCGGCACCGAGAAGGTGAAGCTTCTGGAGGAGAGAATAGCGAGCCTCGAGAAGGAGATCAAAGCCAAAGAGGACATCGCGCAGCAGGATCTGATCGAGCTGCAGAAGAAATTCTCCGACATGAGGGAGAAGTACGCAGCGCGCGTGGCGGAGCTGGAAACGAAATTGACGGAAGCGACCGCAAAAGAACGTAAGCTATACAGCGACATGTTTACGCAGACGACGGTGAAGTACGTCGAGAGCAAAGGTGTGGAGACTAATAAAAGGGACGACAAGGCGTTCGCCGTGGAAGATAAGAAGGATCCGAAAGCGGCGAAGGCCGGCCCAAAGTCTCAGAATTCGAAGGAAGACGCGCATCTCATCGCCACTATACGTGGTCTGAAGCTGGAAATCACGAACAAGGACAAAGCAATCTCGAAAATAACCAAGGAGTTCCAGGAGCTCCAGAAGACGAACAGGAGACTGCAGAAGGAGCGGGAGAAGCTGCTGAACGATCGCAGGAGCTTCCGGAGCATGGACTTCGACAGGGCGTTCCGGGGAGCGAGGAACGGCGAGGGGAACGATCAGAACTCGAACGTCTATCAAAATGGGCACATTGCCGACTCGCAGCGGTTGTCCTCGTCGACGCCGAAGTTGTACGATCCGCTGCAGTTCACGGAGAACGGCAAGAACGGAGCCATTAAGAAACTTACCAACGAGAACGACATCCTGAAAGAGGAGCTGAGCAAGATCAACAAGGATTTCATGGCGCTGAAGAGCAAGAGGTTGCACGACTTGAATCTCTTGCAGGAGGAACACGAGCGGGAGATTGCCACGCTCGTGAAAGAGTACAGCGTCAAGTTCGGAGATTCTAAAGTGGTAAAGTTGCAGGTTTGTAAGCGCTCGCTTGTTTCTTGTCTTATTTGTTTTTTTTCGCGGCGTAAAATTCCGAGTGGAACAAATCTTCGCTTCGCTTATATCGCTCTCTCGCGCGACTGGAAATTTTGAACGTGAAATATCATTTGCAATATTTTACAGGGGCAGATTAATACTCAGGGAGCAGTCATATCACACTTGAAGGAGCAGATCGAGAAGTTTAGGGACTACAAGGAGCAGGTGATCGTGCTGAAGGCCGAGAGAGATCACTTGGAGCACAAAGTGAAGACGCTGAGCGAGAAAGTAAATACTTATCGACGCCGGTACGTAAAAAAAGTTATTCTAACCCTTGAAACGACACTCACAGCACGGCGTATTTCTATTTCAGGGAACGGAACAGTTGCAGTTACTGCAGGACAAAATCACAATCCTGCAGCAACGGCACGAGAGCAGGGAGATGACTCTGCAAACGTTGGTCCGCGACTTGCTGAGGAATCGCACGCAGTGCAGGGACTGCAAGAACGAGAAGGGCAAAAATCGGCAGCTCTGCTACTTCCGGCAGGAGCTCGACCATATTCTAGGAATGCTGCAGGAGATCGCTAACGTCGATTGATATCGCTGAATCGCGAGCTCGCCTCTAAATAACCGAGTTGCGCGTCTGATGGTTCGTTATCGAATCTTGTGATAACTTTTACAGAAGTAAATACTTATCAGCGCCGGTAGTTGAAAAGCGATCATAACTTTTAAAGCGTCGCGCACTCGCGATGTAACTTAAATAATTTGAAAGAGGCATTAGGTACTTTAGGTATCGAAGTATAGGTGCGTAAAAGTGCGTTTGTCCGCGAAATGCTCAGCCAAAATGTGTAGTCGAAACTTCCGTCGACTCTTCCAGAATTGGCGAAGAATGTTATTATTATAACGCAACACTTTTTTCTTGCGTCCGTGACACCGTTCGTTCCGCGAGCTCGTCTGTCGCAGCATCGACTTCGCGAACGTCTCGGTGGACTCGGATCACTGCCAAAGAAAGAAACACGATGACGAACGAACGTATGATTGAATTAATTTTTTTCCGATCTCTCTTCGTCGCCGATTTTCTTGCCAGACGCGTGCAATGTCTTGGAGCACTGCCCGCTATTAGCGTAATTATTTTATTGGATTAAGAATCAACTTTTTAAAGAATAACGAATGTGGAGTGTTCGAAATGTATTTTTTTATTTATTTATTTATTTATGATTCTCGCAATTAAATTGCACAGCTGCTTGCAGCTTTTTTCCTATTCGATGTTGTCGCAGCTCGTTTCGTTTTTTTGTATAACTGCATAGCACGATAACTTTGAAGAGGGGAGGGAAAGAAAGTAGGCGGATAGAAGTATCTTTATAAGAATTTCTTCCAAAGTTTAAAAACAATCTCTAGTTTTTTACAGATAATTTTTCGGAACTTTGCTGTACATAGGCGTTACGAGATAAGCCGCTGTATTTATTTCGGATAATAATATGCGTCGGTTTATTCGCGATCAACGAAGCCGGGCGCGTCTGCTCGACTATATCATGTGTAATCGTATTATATAAGCAATCTAGTTTATTACTATTGTTGCCAAGCCTAGCTGGTGGTTTAATGATCTCAGCAAGATGTAGCGAATTCCATGTCTGTAACGCGTTCGTATTAAACGCATGCACGTCGCACAAATCGACGCGGCCGAAGCTTAAGGGCGAATAATCAACAAAGTAGAATTACGCCTATCTTTCATATCTTAAATGCAAGGTCTTTTTAAGATAATCACCTTTTTGAGACTCGGCCACGTCGAGACACAATCGCATCCTTTTTCTAAATAGATTTAAGCTCGACACACGATGTACAAAGTCCAAGATTATAACTTTAATAAATTTCATCTTTTCGTCGACGGATCGATATTTTTCCCAGCGACGGTATTGCGCGCGAAAAAGTTGCTTGAAATTTATCATCATATCATTAATATCATTAATTAATAATTCCGAATAGTTGTCAAGTAAAATAAAATTTGAGAAACATTATACAACGAAGATTAGTTGTTTAATTTTGAGATAAAATAAATGATTATTGACAGAGAAAGGTTCCTGGTCGAAAAATTGATTCCAGCCGGTTTAACTACGACTCTTCAACTATTTATTACACATAAAATATATTCTCTTAGGTACACGAACACATCTACAGGATATATGAGCTGTACATTAATATACATTCTGAGTATTTTTGGGTACATTACATACATTGCAACGCAAGTTTTTAATTCATAAAATGATAAGATCGACAAAAGCGGGTTAATAGAGAGTAGCGGACTTCAATGCCGGTTTTCGATAGCCAAATTGTCTCTTCATTTTACCAGACTATAAAACGCTGCATTTGCTGCATTATGTTGCTGCTGAAAAAATATTACATAATACATGTTAGGAGTTTTTAATTTTTTATTTTTATATATCGCTTAAATTATTCTGCTATCAATGAAGAGAATTCATCTAAATCTTTATTTTGGGAATTTAATCTTTTTGTAGCTTAAGTTTATTTATTATTTTATTTTTCTACGTTTCCAAATACTTTGTAATAATATTTTTATGTCTTACCTCATAAAAGATTTTTTTCCTTTATAAAGAGACAGCCCGTAAACGGTACAAAGTGCCAGGATGAAAGCTTGTTTCATAAAGTCGTATGATCCAGGATACTTGAGAAGTTCATAGTTCATCATCAACTCGGGAACGATCTTTGCCTTGATTTCTACATTCCTATGGACGCGTGCGTCCTGCAAATTTCGTTCTCGTTTGGCGGACAATCGATCATTGTCTGCGATTCTGAAAAGCATTCTTTCAGTAGATCGTCTTCGTTGTTCGCGGTTTTCTTCAGGAGCATCAGAAGCTCTGACTATTCGACGAAGAGAAGCGAGTCTCGATGGATCCTGATTCTGATTTGCCGATCTTTGTCGCAAATGTCTGACAGATTCTTTCTCAGGGATTTCGGCAAGTCGGTTCTCGACTAATCGAGCCACTCGACGCTCTAGGCTTCTAATCTGAAGATTGCGTCGCGCATCCGACCGCCTTTCGGAAGAACGAAGGACTCGATTTTCAAAAGCTGCTGCTTTGGAGTCCGTCCTGTGCTGCATCATTCGCAGCGATTGTCGCAATTCCGTGTCTCGCTCCAGACGCCGATCCTGCGTTCTGGATTCTTCGCGTGATTTCAAGCTGATGTCAATTCTTCGCGAATCAAGTCGCGTCGGATCCAAAGCAATTCGACGCTCTACAACTCGCCTTTCTAGCGTTCTTCCAGACATTCGTCGTTCAGGCTCGCGAGATTGAAGAACCCTTCGTTCTTCGCGAGATCGTGAATCTCGAGCAGATCGTTTTTCCAGAATCCTTTCGCGAGAAACTCGCAACTCTGGGCTTCGTTCCAGACGTCGATCCTGCATCCTAGATTCTTCACGCGACCTCGAGTTAACGTTGATCCTTCGCGAATCAAGTCGTGCCGAATCCAAAGCAATTCGACGCTCTAAAACTCGTCTTTCCAATGTTCTTTCAGACACTCGTCGTTCAGGCTCACGAGATTGAAGAACCCTTCGTTCTTCGCGAGATCGTGAATCCCGAGCAGATCGTTTTTCCAGAATCCTTTCGCGAGAAACTCGCAACTCTGGGCTTCGTTCTAGACGTCGATCCTGCATCCTAGATTCTTCGCGTGATTTCAAGTTAACGTCGATCCTCCGCGAATCAAGTCGTGCCGAATCCAAAGCAATTTGACGCTCTACAATTCGCCTTTCTAGGGTTCTTCCAGACATTCGTCGTTCAGGCTCGCGAGATTGAAGAACCCTTCGTTCTTCGCGAGATCGTGAATCTCGAGCAGATCGTTTTTCCAGAATCCTTTCGCGAGAAACTCGCAACTCTGGGCTTCGTTCTAGACGTCGATCCTGTATCCTAGATTCTTCGCGTGATTTCGAGCTGGCATCGATTCTTCGCGAATCAAGTCGTGCCGAATCCAAAGCAATTCGACGCTCTAAAACTCGTCTTTCCAATGTTCTCTCAAACATTCGTCGTTCCGTTTCACGAGATTGCTGAAAACTCTTCGTCCTTCGTGAGATCGTTGTAAGCGACTCGTCCGTTCTCGTCGCTCCGCAGACAAATCTCGTCGTTCCGTCGATGAATCTCTAGAATCCCTGACTCTTGCGAGTCCCTGTCGGTCCACGGAATTGCGATTCGCCGAACGAGAGTATCGGGCGAGTCTATCTCTTTGCTCTCGATTCGCGATATTTTCGAAACCGTGACGCGATTCTGCTAAAGTGGCTCTAGAATCGTCGCTGAATTCTGTGTTTCCACGTGAATCGCGTCGGCTCACGATTCTTTGCGAACGGTTGATTCTTTCTCGACGTGAGTCCTCGGGTGAAACTCGCGATGCCACTCGATCGAGGGACCTTCGATCAACAAGACGACTCTCAGCTTTTCGGCGCTCAGCCTGATTAATTTCGCGACGTTCAGCAGATCGAGTCAAGAATCTTTGTTCGGAGGACAATCGGCGCTCGTCGGATCTTTCGATGCCGGATTCAAGCGACCTAACTCGTTTGACCGATGTTTCGCGGCCGAGAGCGTTTAGACGTTCCGTTGATCGGCGATCGGTGGACTTAATCAGATTTTCACGAGAATCCCTGGTAACAACCGAAGATCGAGACTTCCGTTCTTGATTCGCGACGCGATCGAGAAGAGCGCGACGGTTCTCCTGACTTCGCTCTCGATTTCGGCGATCCAAATTATTGTTACGATCGACGTCCCCTCGGGCAAGCCTCGCCGAACGTTCCAAAAGATGTTTGCGGTCCTCGCGACTCGATCGTTCCGCATCCCGATTTTCAATCGCACGTCGCTCGACAGATCTACGCTCGCGCGTCTCGATTCGACGATCCGCACGACTTCGCGCCAAATCTCGGTGCTCGCGACGGTCCGCTAGAAATTCGCGCGATTCTTGCCGATTGCCTTCGCTCAGCATTCGTCGCTCCGTCGAGAGCGACCTACGATCGCGATGATCGTTCATGCGGCGCTGAAGATTCAGAGAGTTTCGCCGGTCGATGCTATTTTGCCGACGCGCGTTTTCATTGAGTTCGCGCCGTTCCGTGGATCGACGATCTTCAAATCGCGAGTTTGCACGATCGGCCAGACGACGTTCGACGCTTAGCGATCTCTGTTCGACAGAACGACGATCGGTTGCTCGGCTGATCAGATCCCGCGTTCGAGAAAGGCGAGTAGCGGGATCGAACGAGTTTCTGGTATTGCGGGCTTGCGTGATTGTCCTAAATCGGGAGTCGTCTCGAAGTCGATTGATGGATTCGTCGGAAAGACGTGTTCTCGACAGTCTGTCGGTTGTCCTTCGATCGCGGTTTTCAGACGATCGTTCTCTGATCTCCTGTGAACCTGTTCTGGACAGGCGATCGAGACTGAGCGATCGAGAGAGTATCGATCTTCGAGATGATATTCTGGATCCCGATACTTCTGTCTGTAGATTGTCAATTGATTTTGCAGGTTTTTCGGTAATCAGACACGAAGGCATGTTGGTGAAAGGATTCAAGTTTGGACAGGCGTCTACCCTGAAAAGAATGCCGTTTTTGAAAGGAGATGCGCTTTACAGAAGCAAGAATGATTTTAATTTAATGCAGATTGTATAATTTAAAATCTGTGATGCAGTTTAATATCTAAGATAAAATCATGAAATATTCTTTACATTATTGAAATTATTTGAATAATTGTAAAAAGTAATAATTTGATTCGTACTCATGGGGAGCTCGATGCGTGAGTTCGGGTCCTGCGAGGCTGCCGGAGTGTCCTTCCCTATCCCTGGATACCAGTCCCAGCGTCAGGCACATCAGGGACACTATCAGGAGCCCGATGTACTGCCAGGATCGTACGGGCAATACTACGTGGCGTGTACGCCGCATCCTGTCGCAAAATTTCATGTAAATTCAAGCTATTGTAATAATTAAAAAGCGCTCGATAGGCGCCTTTCAAGTTTCCAATCGCGTCTAAAAATCTTATTTAATCGTAAAAAATGCGAAATGTTTTAGAAATGTTATGTGTGATCAAATAATTTTTTTTTTATAAAAAACACTTTCTGTTATATATTTTATTTTTCATTTAGGAATATTTCATTTCAAAATTTACTTCTATCTCGAAGCAAAATATATAGTATAAAGTTTTATCACGTTCTAGAATATTTTAAAGTTTCGCGACGATAAAAAGAGTCATACCTGAAGAACTAGAGACTGACGTGATCAAGTTCTCGAATGTGTTTCCAAGGGCTGAAAGGGCTCTCAAAGTCGTCGCGAGAAGTGCTCTCCCTCGGTGCTCCGGAGAGCTGCTGACACCGAACGTCCCGAGGGAGCGGCTTTTATACCCGCTTTGTAACTCGATAGAAGTGCAATTCATTGCTTATCAGCAGCGACCACATGGTGCCCCATATACTAGCGGGACAAAATCGCCATGAGCAGAGTGTGGGCGAGCAATGTTGCGCGCGGAAAGATTGGAAAACCGCGACGCGGCTATCCAGCCGGCTAACCAGCCGGAAAATTGCGAACCGGGTTACTCATGAAGTGGCGGTCGCTCGTGTTGCGTAGGTGTCCTTTCAAACCGCGTTGAAGTTCAATTCCAAAGGATCTGGATCGCTTCCGAATAAATTTGTCGAGCAAAATCCATTTCAAGATAATTTCGATTAGATAGAAATATTGAATCTGCTATAAATTGACGTAGTTTCTGCGATTCTCTTATTATTTTTCGAAGTAAAGCAAAATTTGAAACTATGTTACTTAATATAAATTATTTTACTAACTTCAAGTAAAAAATAAAAGCTACATACGGCGTTAAACGTCCAATTTTTCACGAACGTATTTTACACAGAGATGAATATAACGTTTTCAAATTTATAGAATGATGAGTAATGACGAAGAGTGTAGCCGTCTGCAATTTACATATCTGTTGATATATTTTATTATATAAATCTAAATAATTTTTATAAATGTCTGAGTCATATAATAACAAATTTCTTTTACATTTATTTTTTACAAAACGCGCATTACAAAATACTAACGGCAAGTATACTGTGCACATCTTATAAATACGTATTATTAATAATCATGTATTTACATTTATATTATATTATAGATTTCTATATTTATATATACTATATATTGTATGTGCCCGCTGTCGGCGAATATTTTTCGCAAACTTTGTTGTCTCTTTACGAATCTTTACAGAATCTCTTTACAGAATCTTACGTAGAGACATCGTAATAGATAATCTCACGTTCACGCCGGCGTAAAATTACGTAAATTTATTTTTTAATATGAACACATAAAATTATATATCTCAAAATTATATCTCATATTTGTCATATTTAATATAGTAATTAATGATTAATGATAATAACCTAAACGTGCGATTACTTAATATATGAACTATCCTGACCCACTGATGGGCCAAGCCGGCGTGAATGTGTTAAAGATTTTTTGCTCTATTCGGCCTATCGCGGGATTCAGTCGCTGTAAGGTGGGATTGCTTAAATTAATAAATTAAACGGGATTGTCTGGTAAATTAAAAAATGTACAGTCGTGACGTAAACTCTACATCGTAGAGAACCGTTTGTCGTATTCACGGGATTTGCAGTGCGCATTCGCCATGCAACGTTAAGTACTAACTGTTACTGACTATTTTCGGTCTCGCTTAGATCATAAAGATTAAAACTATGAAGATATTGACCAGGTTTATCACGAGAGAACGAGGAACTCCGGAGGTGGCAGACGTAATCTTCAGCTCGCTGCAGATTGTGTCGTTCGCCTTCGGTAGTGCTGTGTAATTCGGGAAATTCAGAACTGTTGGAGACTGAAAAAATGTAAAGAAAAATTTAAAAATAATGGCATCAGTTAAATAAATAATAAATTTAATAAATGCTATTAAAATTGTTTTTCGAATATTTTTTTAATGCAATTGTGGTTTAAATTTTAATTGGGAATAAGTTCTTTAACTGCAAGAAATCTTACCATATAATATTCGTAATCTTTTCTTTTGCAGAATGTCATGTGCTTGCCGTGATAAAGAATATTTTCTATTGCTTTCGCGAGTAATTCATCCGTCCATGGCATAGTTATCATATGATCAGCCATAGTTCGTCCTGGAAATTAAAAAAAAAATGTTAGTAAACTGTTCAAAATATTCTCCATTGTGTATAAAATATTTTTAAATTTTACATAAATATTTTAAAGAGGCAAAATTTTTATCATTATTTTGATATTTATACATATAATTATTATCATTACCTCGGAATTCTTCAGGGTTTTGAATAATGAGCTGCGTGAAGACATTCGGTTCATTATTGTTTGTGTAATCTCTCATCGTTTCTAACACAGACTGAGCCTCTTTGAAAACGTCCGCATTGTCCTCCTCGTCTATTGATTTCGGAGAAGTGCTAAGTTGATTGATCGAAGACGAAATGTAATCATCCCTAGAAATTTTAATGTAAAAAAATATGAAAATTATATTTTAAAACATGAAAACAATATTTCTTGAATTTGGATAAATGAATATTTGCGAATAGTTCGTGAATCAAATTAAGATCTTTTAGAATCGATAATCAAAGATTGAGTCTGGATACATTTTAAAAATATTATTCAAACTCACTTCAGAAACAGCTTTTTCACGGACTCCATCGTCATCCCCTTGAAACTGACCACGCCTAATGTTTTAAAGAGGTCTTCGACAGGTGTTAGACTGTAGCAGGAGACGAGATGCGTCGTCGGATAATACATGACGAACGCCAGGCACATCTCCTCGGAAGCCGCCCAACCACCCAGCGTCGGTTTCGTTCTGTTCAAAGTGCCGTAAACGCATTCTGTAACGAGCTCGTCGCCAGGCAGCACGTTTACTTCCTTCTGCAGCACGTGAGACAGCTGGTAATTAAAGTCGAAGTGATTGTCCTGGACTATCCTCGGCAATTCCTTTCCTTGTCGAATGTGTTTCAAGTTGAGCCGACGACCGGCCAAGTGCGAATGCAACACGACGGACACGACATTGATGCCTTTCTCGGGCAACGACTGGAACAAAATTGGAAGTTAATTTTATTTGACATGCGTATTTTACATTTTTACTTTATGCTTGTAATTATTGATGTAAACAATTCTTGTGTATATTGCAACAAAAATATTGAAATATAACAATTTTAAAGAATGTCGAAAGTTATGTTAATGTTTTTAGAGAAATATTTTTTTAATTTTTCTAATTCAATATTTTATTTTTTGCATGTAAATGATTGCAATTACCGCGTTGGTGCAGTGTGAAGCGCAATATCCGGCTGTGGCGTACTCCTTCTGCTGCGGGGGCACCAGATGAAGAGGGGTCACCGCCATGCCGGTAAAAAAGATGCCGGCTTCATTAGAACGAAGCCTCGGACTCAAGTAAAGTCTTACGCCGCTCTGATCGATTACCTTCCTCAGGCCTGGATTATTGTAATGGACTTCCAGCATGTAAAACGACTTATTTTTGTGTTCTCCTATCGAGATACCGATGTGCTCGGGCAGCCACTCTCCTGCGGAATTGCGGTAATCAATTTCATTGAACTGTTTATTAAAGAACAAATATTTCAACAATGTAATTTGTTATTCTCGCAATGTTCCTCAACACAGAAGACATCTAAACGATGCAATATTTTTATATTTGTTCTTTGTTGGGATCTAAAATTACGGATGTAAATTATTGGGTTGACGGGATGGCGAATCGATCGATCATCCCGATGTCAACTTTGTCTTCACGCTAAAGACAATTTACCTTTGCTGCCACGAATCCAAGTGAGGACGGGTCTCGTACACAAGTTCCACTCCTTCGGTATCGTTTGGCTGTAGCATTTAGCGCCGGCTAACCTGGTATGCCTCTCGAGGATCGAGTCCGTCGAGCACTCGTACAGGATCATGTGATGGACCAGATCCTCGTTCGCCTTCTCCACGAGCGGCGCGTACTGAAACGCATAAATAATGCATAAGCGCGGAGCGCCGAAAATTGCTTCGTCGCTCGATTATCCAATTTCTCGTAACCCGCCGAGGAACTCCGGGGAGAATTTTTAAAGACGCGTTTAGGCGCTGTCGATCGCAAAGATCGGGCCGGGCGTGAAATTTATGCCGGGATCCTGGGAACGATCGTGATCCTTTCTCCCGCGCGACTCCATTGACAGTCGGCGGGCGTACCGGGTGCGGTGACATCATTCCGGCTCTCTTCTTTATTCTAATGACGCGACGTCCACGATGTCCGGCATGAATGACCGTGATTCGTGAAGAACATACGGATAAGGCCCAACCTTTGCATTCCACAGCGTCAAGAGATTCACTCGAGAAACCTGTTGGCGAGAATTTGCATCGTCGTGTACTCACCCCTATCATGTGGTGTTTTTCGTGCGAGAAAGCCGGGGCGATCTGGAAGATCTTGCACCAGTAAATAGTGTGCTCGTCGCCGGTGATGTTAAACTGCCGAATGAAAATATTATTAAGTTGCAGCACGTCAACGTGCGCTGAATTAACAAAAAAATAAACAGCGAAAGCGATGTGGATTGAATCTAATACAATCGTAAGTAGAACTATTGTTGCTTTTAAGAAGACTGAATAAATTTACTCAGAATTGACATTACTGATAATCTCTTATCTTGTTATTTTATTTTATTATTTGGAAATAGTGAATAAAATAAACCACCGTTAATTTTCTAAAAGATACAGTTTCGTCTTATAGCATATAATTAGAGATTCTACCGGATTGAGCTTCACGTCCCAGTGCAGTGCATTCAGAGTTTCCGGTGGCGAATATGTGGCGGCTGTCTTCAGCCTTAAAATCTTTCCGCCTCGTTTCCTCTCGTGCCATGCCGCCGTGTTTAATTCTGGATCGGTATGATGCATGGCCCATATCACCGTGACGGTGTCCTCCTGAATTCGCGTACAAACAGATTTCACCGTTTAAAGTGACAACAACACACCTCCACAAATATTAATAAATAAATATCATAAGATGTGAGTTTTTTTTTATATTTTTTGGGGAGAAATTTTATTTTGATAAATGTTATCTCGGGCGAATTATACTGGCATAACTGCAGTTTGGAATCAGATACGTTGATCGGCGGAGGGTTGTGCCGCGGCGAAAGTGGACAGACGGCATGCTAAACGCCTAAATACCGCCGCGGGAATTCAAGCCAGCGGGATCTTCGGGTCTTTTAAAGCCGCGGGGCTTCTCTAAGCCCCGGGCATAAATCGAAAGAGGGGTCCGCGAATTCTACGGAGCCGCGACGGTTGTACAGTAAATCTTCCGGGCCGCCTGTTCTCTTCTTCTCCGGGCCTTCCTAAAGAAACCCCGCCACGGCTGGCACGCCGCAGCGAGATACGCACGGCGGATTTGCTTTCTTTGCACGCGTTTTAATTACAGAGTAGCGGATTAGAGGTCGGAAGGCAATTTGGTGTTGGCGAGGCGCGATAAATTTCCGGCGCTCGCTGCGTTAATGCGAATCGCCGTGGCATCCGAATGGCTCTTTTCCATAACGTATTATTTACAGTATTTGGGATCCGCGTAGTCTGAGGGTCTGAATTTATTTTCGGCTTGGCACCCAAAATACAATCTTAGGGGAAGGCTTTAATTTTAGACGACTCACGCGTTCGACTCCTGGCGCGTAATTCTCAGCAATTTAATGATAATTATTAAACATCGTGTTCATCTTAATTAACTTATATAAATTGATTTTTTCTAATAGGCGTTTTGTTCCTGTGTTATAAATAAATATGAAAATCGGGCTTCGACTGAAATATTATTTTAAACGACGGTCTCACCGAGAGGGGATAATCCTGAGGATCGCACGTCTGCCACTTCCTGACGAATTCTACGGTGGTGTGAGTGGCATTTTGCGATCCGCCACGCACTCGCACGTCCTGAAGCGAGTCAGCATGCGGCGCTGCGTTCATCTCCTTGACACCGTGCATATCCTGAAACACGAAGAGAGGAGAGATGTTAGAATCGTCGGCGGAGGGGTTCAATGTACTTGTCGAAGCAAGGTCCGTGGGCCCCGAAACCTGCTCTCGGCATTGAATTCGAGGGCTTTATCGGGTCAGGCGAACGCCAGGTGTTCGCAGCGAACTGGGACTTCGACCCTTTTTCCCGACGCAATTTGTCTCTCCATCTCTGCCTACTTTCTCTTTTACTTTGCTTAACACCGCGGACGGATACGTCATCCTTTATTACGCCGTAGTTTTTATTCGCGCCGTTTAACGTCTGCCAGCGTACAGTTATATTTCGATCGTCACAATAAAGAGGATGTAGATAGCGTCCCCATAAAATTATTCACGCCGCGATTACACGGAGATTACGCAGAGTGTACTGCGTATGCGTTTTTTTTTTTAACTAACGTGGGATCGATTCTTCTTTAATGAAAATATCACGAGCCATCAAGAGTTTGAAATTATAATTGCAAGCTGTTGAAAAGTTAATCAATTTTTATGTTTTAATATAAATTTGAGACAAAGATATTTGATTGCTGATTAATAGAATAGAGAGGAAATTGATTCAATTTGTCAAAGGACTTTTCGGCATGAAATTACGCAGCGATAGATCCGCGAAATTTTGCGCACGATCGTGAATAATGAACGTGTGCGAAATCACAGCTGGATATTTCCGGCATATATGCGCCCGGCGTTAAGGCATTGCACTTCGAAAAAAGAAGAGAGAAACTATTTCCCAGCTGCCGCGGTAGCGCACGCGAGTTGCCGAAGGGATGCCGTAGGCGTTTGGGTCCGTTGGGCCCCGGTTATGGTGGGTACGCTGACGGTTTGTACGCAGGACGAGACGAGGCGATGAGGCCCCCGAAGGGAAGTCCTCTTCCTGCTCGTAATGAATCCAAATAATTGCCGGAGCCCGTCGTCATGCCCGATGGAGTACCGCATGCCTCGTAACGAGCACGTGGAGAAAGGAAATAGTAATAAGTGCATCTCTCGAAACGGTTGCGAGGAACCGGTGGAAACGGGAAGCGGGACGAGGGATTGCGAGAGAGGGTTGCTCATTAACATGCAAACGGCTCACAAAGTATCTCTGGGTAGTTTGAAAATTATATACATTCTCACTCCGCCGAGATAATGATTATTGCTATCATGTTGTTCACATTTTATTCGACATATGTTTCGTAAATGTTAATACTTTCGTTATCTTTCGCAGATAATTTTTGACACAAATATCAACGACGATGCACATAGATTCAAAATATATGAACTAAATATAATTCAGGAATTAAATGATAAAAGTGGTAAGAAAGAATATTAATTTTTATTTACGTTGGTTCTTTTACATTTTTAATATACAGTATTTTTAATACAATTAGATATCGTATATATCGGGTTTTTAATAATACAGATTTATATAATAAATTTGATATAATAATACATAGAATAAAATAATTTTTGCGTTACGCATAGACTGGAATTAAAGTCGTTGACGAGTGCATGTGCAGCGTCAACGGACGATTTTTGATCTTCGAATAAAGATAAGCAGGTTTTAATTACAATCAGGCTCGTTCGCGAGGAACAGCCTGGTCGAGCAAGTGTCATAATAATACGCACGCATAAATCTTCAGAAGACTGCGAGAATCTTTTTTTATCTCGATCAACGGTGGAATCGCATCGTTATTTCGTGGGGTTCAAGTGCGTTCTCACGAAGTTCGCGACGGTTTTCTCATAGCACCCGGATATTCTCATCGGCCCCATCGAGCTAATTAGTATGGCCCTGACGTTGTTCGGCGATAAAAGGTCTGAGCTTCTAAGAAGGTTGTTTAAATTAATTTATTCGATTATTATTCAAGATTTGATATTCGAGAACGTCATATTCGTCCAATGAGGCTTCGTGTTAATTGATTTTTTCTCATCTTACGATTTTTTTACTTAATAAATTTTTTAATCAATTTATAATTAAAGATGTAATTGATAGCAAATCAATCATCGATGTAAAAGTGGACCTGTTATTTTTTAACAACTTCTGTCACATAAACGATTTTGCGGCGTAAGAGGCGACCGTGAATGCGATAACGCGCTTCCCTTTCGCGATGTTAATTTACCAATTCGAAACACGTTCGAGTGGTTCACGAGCGAACATCTGGAAAGCAATTAGGTGTCTCGGACTAGGAAAAGCAAGTTTGAGAAAAGAAGCAGAGAAAGGAAACATTCTCGATTCCCACGGCGGATTATCGCGGGATTATCTTTTCCGTTGCGTCGCAGGGTGAAAAATGTCACAAAGTGGCTCGATCGTTAGACGAAAGTATTATGCTAATGATCCGGCGAGTTGCCGCCGACTCTCTGGATTTTCTACGAGTGTGAGTCACAAAGGCGGACAACGAGGAAGCGTCTCGTGTCCCCGATTTAGGAACGGGTTTCCTCGGTCGTCAACGGTGTCATTACCGCAAAGCCGGCGCAATAATACCCTCATGATACCCGGCGAGAGGCGCTATTCAAAGCTTGTTTGTCGCTTCGACACGGTCGCATCGACGGCTTCATCCACGCGAGACGTGGATTGCAGTTTAGATTGTCGGAACGCTCGAGTCATCGGGACATGTCTGCCATCCGTCGCGGAGAGACACACGCGCCTGGGACGCGGAAAATTAATTCGACGGATGTGACGTCACGATCAGCACCGGCTGCGCTTCCTGTCCAGAGAGCGTCCCGAGAGGCTCCTTCGCGAGTGTTTCCCAGGAACGGCGAAGGATGCGGATCCTTGAGTGATGACGCGGATGCGTGCGCCGAGACGCTCTTTCTCACCGCATATCTAATTATTACTTCTTATTTGTTTATCGAGATTGCGCGAGATAAAAGTGCGATGTAAACAAACAGATAGCAGTCCTTATTTTTTTAAATACAAGATCCCGAAATTCCATTGTTGTTGTGCATACATGAACACACTTTGTAAAACGTTTTCGATGATCGACGTAGGGTTCACAGAAAAGGAAACGTCGCTTTGTGCCCTTTTTCTATGGGAGGCGGTTCCCATGGATGCCCCTCGGTTTTGGACAGAAAAAGGACGAAATTTCTACGAAAAGGCGCCACTAAGAGAAGGAGGCTCGCCAGGTGTTTTGGTAGCGGTCTCTTCTTCGTCCTTTTTCTTTCTTTCTCTCTCTCTCTCTCTTTCTTTCTCTCTTCTTCGCAAGCATTTAGGTCGCTCTCCCTCTCGTCCCCGCTCGTCCTTCTTCTGTCACTGTTTTCTTTTGCTCGGCTTGTTCTTCTCTCCTCGTCTCGCTCCTTCATCGAAACCCGTCGGTGAAACTAACCGCATTTTCCATCCCTTTCTTCTTTCCTTCACATGTATTCGGTGCCTTATTCCTCTCCCTGCCCGCTCCTGTTACCCTCCTTTTTGCCACATGAACAGCAGCTGTGGCAACGACGATCAGCTCACCACTCGAGAAGAGGGGTAAAGGAAAGGACTTCTCTGTCCTTCGGAAACTCTGGGGAAGCGGTTTGGCGGTGGTCAACAAATATTACGCGACTAGCTCCGTAGATTTATCGCTGTGTCTCTTCGTGGACCACAGACGTGCAATTTCGTTGCGTCATTGTGGGAGTGAAATGGACAAACCCATCCGACTTTTCGGCGTATATTTATGTGCGGCTTGATTGTATTATTAAAAAAGAAATATTAATTATGCAAATAGAGAGAAAACACCGATAGGATTTTACTTTAATACTTTGATATTGGTTTATCAATTTTCTTTATAGCGCATATATTTATATATGTCAGCGAAAAGTGTAGAAATATTTGCAACATTTTGCAAAGATGAAAATGTTTTTGCAATAACAAATTTTGCACACGTTTTTGATTATAAAGGATTCCGTGTTTCGACAATAATTATTTTGACAGAAGGCTATCGTGCGTAGGAACGATTACAGTCTTCTTATACGCAGACGGAGAAGCAATTTCTTCTCCTTTTTTCTTTTTGCCTTGGCGTTCTGAACTGGTTTACTTTATTTTTCGGATGAAAATTATTATTGCCGAGCTTTTAGTCGCGATTCCGGCCCGATTCTCACGTGTCGCGATCCCGGCGTCGGCAGAAGCGTGCACGCGGTTACGCGCAATTACGCGCGGCGAGTCGTTAAAGCCCATCGTGGCCGGTTTTACGAGCGGTTAGGCGGAATAATAATCAACGAATTAAAATGCGGTGGAAACCCCTCTTGCTTCCGTCGTCGACGGGGGGCGCCTGTCCACACGGGGGTTGCGCGCGTCCCCCGCAATTTGCTTAACGATTCCTGCGGTTAATCCTTTAATCGCACGTGGACTTTTTGTTTCTACTGATCGCGCTAAAAGAGTCTCTACTCGAGATTTAGATTTCTTCTCTTTCCGAACGCGTTGAGTAAAAGTTAAAGTGTAATATAAAAATTATTAATATTGTAAATTATTGATATTGTAAAAAATATTAATTTGAAAAAATTATAAGAGTAAAAGAATTTAACAAATGTGTGATTTGATTTTTCTTACACAAATAACTGTTTGAAAGTCAGAACTTAATTTTTGTAAAACAGCATAGAATTCCGAAATTGTGCGCATCGAGGTCTTTCAAACGGTTGCAAAACTAGACAAGTCTCATTGGAATACAAGAGTGCTTCTGCGAACCAGTTTCGCGGTGGTTCGACCGGTAACAGCAGTAATTCGCCCTCTTTTTTTTCCAAGTGTTGTTTTCGAGCCTGGAGGCAAGGCGGGGTACGAAAAAGGGGACCCGTAACTCTCATCGCGCCGCTACGTATTACGGGTAAGTGGCGCGACCGGAAAAAAAAACAGGAAGCAAGGAGGAAGACAGGAGAGAGCTTCTCCTGTGCTTGCTCAGAACTTCAACGTCATCCTGATTCAGGCTATCTTTCTTCTAATTCTTGCGGGAGGAACAGATGAGAAGAACTTCCGCGATTCCCCAGGCGCTCCTCCTTCGTTTTTATCAGTCGGATCCTAAGAATAAACGACAAGAGTT